CAAATACTTAAGCTGAGGTCTATCGAAAACACATTTACCCAACAGGATTAAGAACCTAGTCTCTGACCTAATCCTCCGAAGACTTTATCACCTTTTTTGGGTTGTGACGAAGTGTTCGCTGATGGTCCTCCATAAGCACTTGGAGGTTCAGAAAACGGATTTCTCGTGGTGTTTGCTGTAGCAGTCGCTGTAGGAACATTCGTTACTCGTTCCTGAGTTGCAGCTACAAGAATTAAAACCAGTATTATTCCCAACGGCCCCATGAATATTAAAGATATAAGGGCAAGCACCATGTGAGCCGGCTCTATGGTGTAGCCTGCCACTTGATAACTATTTAAACCGAAAGAGCGAAGCTGTTGATTTGCAGCAGCCCAATACTGTGATAATCCGTCGATGGATCCCTGCGCATTATTCTATGTGATTGGAGAGATTTTTAAAAAATGAAAAAAATAAGCTTACATCTGCAGAAGGTTGTTGGGAATTTCTGGAGCTTGCTCGTTGATCACGTGAGCTTTGTGCACGAACATCATCATCATTCACAACATCACCATTCGCCAAAACTCGAACCATTAGAGTTTCTGCATATATTTTGGTGAACAGTATATGGTTAACAAGAGCGATGGTATCAATGCAACGTCAACTAGCAAAAATAAAACAGTTAGAGAAGCTTGACGTAGTAGAGAGCACACTAGCATTCAAACTATGTAACTGTAACCGCAATTAGTAATGAAACAACCAAAAGGATTGTAGGACGCCGACCGGTTGGTTTGCTCGATATTTTTTTTTGCTTATCATGTTTTAAATTTTTAAAACCATTTTTTGCAATAGAGATCGGAAAAGGAAACATAGGAAAGTATAATCCGGAGATATCAAAGCAAACAGAAGAAACTCGAAGCACAGAAATTAATTAATAAAACTTCTTTCGCAAAACTACTAATCCAGATTTTATTGAATAGCATTATTGAAATATGCTCCATTGCCAAACTGTTTTTATCTCTAACCACTCTCTCCACTTTCAGTTGTCTTTTCACCTGTGACTAATCGTGCTTAATACTTTTAATTGTGTACCTATCTCCTTTTCCCCGATGTATTGCCATACCAACACTAAAAAATGCATGTTGCTACCCAAAAATAGTGTTTAATAATGTATATCACATATACAGTTATACAGTAATGATACATCTCAAACATGTGACACTTTTGTAGCATTGGTCATCTTCCGATCTTCATAATTTCTCAATTTATTCAGCTGAGCTGAACTTCGCAAAGCGTAATGCTTAGATGTTTATTTCTTTTGCATCTGTTCGCATCATGAAGATTCAACTCACTTGTCTCTTGTTTTTTTCTCTCAAGGTTGCTGCACCTTTCGATTGCTCGTATATGCACATTTCCAGTTTTGACTTCATAAGCTTGTTGAATTGTTCTCCTTTAAGGCTATCGAAGTTGATTTATTATTGATTGCTGTTGTATTGTTGTGCTGAGCGGGTTCCTAAGACAAAAGCAGCATCTGTTTTTCTATATGTTTCAGTAATCAGGAGCATTTTGAAATTTACAGTTTCGGTTTGTGATTTCCTCACCAAGTGCCGAAAGTGCTATTGACTTAGACATTACCATCTTCATACTGTTCGCTACATAGAAAAACAGAAGTATGTTTCTGTTTTTGTTCTATGAATCATTCCTTCCTTCTGTGTTGATATTCTTTGTTTTTCCTTCATGATACAGTTCCTACTCTCCATCTTATTTCTGCTTTAATCTTCCTGTAATCAAACGTTTCAGCATGATTCCATGCTTATGAGTGGCGATAGAAGTCCAATTAACGTGAGTGCTATACGAGCACAGCTCGAACGAAAACTTCTACTCAACAGTCGTCCTACAGTTTTGCAGTCTAGAGATCGTTTTGAAAGTAAGACTTACTTTTCTGCGTTCAGTTTCCGTACTCCTTCTTCGTATATGTAATTCCGTTTTTTAAGATGACGAATCTCGTGAAGATTCTCCTGTTGTGCCAAAGCACAGAACATCAGGGACAATATTGCAGACGGACGCGGTAATTATCCTTTGGAAGTTCTTCTAATTTTTTTCTTCTGTAGCGGACAGGAGAACATTTAGTTCCTCCGGATACCCGAATGCGGACTTCGTCGAGAGAGCCATCGAAAAAGCCTCCCTTATATCCGAAGCCGAAGCTTCCCGATTCGGTGAGTTTGAAAAAAATTATGATTAATTCACCGCAGCTGAACTAACTCTAGTAGCTTTGATTGTATATTGATTTTTTCGTCTATGGCAACTGGTTCCCGAGAGTTGCAGCGATTTTTCCATGTTTTACGCTTCATATTATTCAACAAATATACTTCGAAACTATTCCCATATATAAAACTCTTCATTTTGCGGTCGATATTCGTTATGTTCACTCTGAAAAGATTTGGGTATTTTCGTTTTGAAGCGATTTATTTGCTTTGCTTCGGGGATCTGTCGTATCTCTCGATCATTCTGTCTTTGCAGAAATCCGTCAACATTATGGCCGACGATGTATCTTCTTCTAACGGGCATTGTCCTCCCGTAATCACTGTTTCCTCTGAAGAAAATCAGGATAAAGAGTTACCCCCTTGTCTGGTAAAAAATTAGTTCGAATAGTGTAATGTTTTTTTCTCTTTTTAAAGACCGAATCTGTTTTGCGACGAGCACAAATGTTTGAGGAGAACGGATCTGTTCCTTTATCACCAAGTTGTTCCACAGCTAATGATAGTGCGAGGTTTTTATTTACTCTTTTTGTTTTTTTATCAGCTCCACTGTTGTTCTAGACCTGACTCCACGGTTTCAACCTTTTCTAACTCTAGTTGTCATAAAGATTTTTCCGATAGTGATAGCGATGAAGATAGAAGACCTGAGCATCTTGGCATAAACCTTGATCTCGAGCACTTGAGTCCACACAAAACTGGAGGTAGAAGGTACGTTTCCTTAGCCTTATCCATAATGAAATCCGTAATTGCAGAACATCTTCTTTTGGTCAAAGTCATGATAGTGCAATACATGAAAAGATTATGAGTGAACTCAAGAGACAGGGAGTAGTCCGGTACATAACTTTACTTCCTCTATAGACATTGGCTATCCTATTCAGATCTAGTTCTCATCAGCCTCTTTTCAAAAAAAGGACAGAAACGCATGCCCATCGTACAAAAGTATTGAAGCCCGACAACAGCGTAACAAGTCCAGATGGTATTCCATCTGACATTGGAAAGCTCAGAAACGATCTCAAAGTATGTTACTTCACGTGACAAATAAAAACAACTTTTCTTCAGAAAAAGGATGAAGTGGAAGAAGCGGAGTTTCCTTCCTCCAACTCTGATGAATCTCATAGTAGAGGAGGCAGCATGATTTCTGATCGGAACAGTACTCTAACTACCTTGAGTGATCATGATGGTGTACTTGAGTATAACACTGGAGACCCCAATGAGGTTTTGATTGAAATTCGGAAAAAAAGTTATATTCAAAATATAGGACAATCGATTGAAGAAACTTCATTATGCTGCAAATGAGTTTTACTCCATGCAGTTAAGCTTTGTGAAATATTTACGAGATGTAGGAGAGGTAATCGCCCAAACAGTAATATGAATATAGTAATATGTTCGATATGTTAGATCTATCCGAAATATGTACAAGAGTATGGAAATAGGATAGGCAAGGATCTTCTGTCTCCTCCTCCTGGTCTCTCTGTTCATCCAGTCACTCAACTCTCTCAAGAACTATTCCAAATTCTAAATGTACATAGAGTGCTGTTAGCAGAGTTCACAACTTTACATTCCAATTGGTTAGTTCCTCATGTTAAGAAGAACTAATCTGATAGTTTCAGGACATCTTTAAATCCTAATTTGTCTGATGTCATACTTCGTTTATCCGATTTCCTTAAAATATGTCGCCAGTTCTTAGTTGAAAAATCTAGGTTCATTCAAGAAATATCAAAGTTGTTGGACGAGAACAAGGATTTTGAAGCCGCGACTATCCAATTTGAGCAGAAAATTTTTCTGCGAGGAGTCGGTGCTATTGTTCAACAACTCGATCAAGTTCATCAAAATTTCATGAGGTTTTAGGAATTTAGCTGTTGTGCTTCACGTTATGGTTTCTTTTCTAGATATAAACTTCTAATGCAAACTTATCGAAGACACCTGCTCGAAGATACTGAAGAATGGAAAAAAGCTGGAGGTTTATCATACTGAGTTACAGAAAATTTGTTTTTTTTTTCAGAGGCTATTGAAAAGCTGGACAACATTACTAGAACTGTTAATGAGTACATGGGTTATGCTACAAACGAAGAGCTGTATAGGCTTTACGTTCGATTCCAGGTAGAAAAAATAGTTTATAAATAGTTGAGTACAGAATTTTTCAGTACAAATTTGACGTTTTCTATCCCGGACGACGTTTGATCAGGCAGGGTGAAGTAATGAAACAAACCAGGAAAGAGCTGCAACCCAGATATCTCATTCTTGTTGGTTTTACTTCTGTTTTTATTTCAAGTTTCTTCTCTACAGTTCTCTGACATCTTGTGGATTTGTCGTGTTTCTTCGGTTATAATCGGACTCGGAGATTTTGATATGACGAAATCTTATAATATTGCCATTGATGGTGTTCGTTTGGATATCAGAGATCATGAAGATCTTGAAAATCTCCTAACGGTTCGAAGCAAACAGAAAAGTTTTGGATTGATTTTCTCGTAAGATTCATCACCATTTTCCAAGTATAAAACTTTTCTCCTAGTTCTGTGAAGGAGAGAGACCAGTGGTATAGCGACATTCTCAACGTCCAAAAAGATGTTAAAAACTTCAAGCGACGCATGAGTGAAGCAATTGAACGACAACGTCGTCAAAGCACTGTAAGTTTCTATTGAGTTGGTCCACTCATTTTTTTTAATCAGGCGCCTATTCCAATCTTATCGCCCAAAGAAGGTTTAGCTAATGAAACCAAACTGCCCACGAGCGCTTCAGAGTCCAGGTAAAATCATGATTCGTCTATAGTGTACACTTCCTTTTTAGTCTATGTTTATCAAGATCTCAGAGTATCGACACTTCCTCTCAGCCAAGTACTCCTGTTGCCGAGTTTCCTCATAGCGATGCTCCAGAGTTTCCAACAGTGAAAAAACGTGGGATGCTGCTGTTCTTGACCATACTTTATCAGTTTTCTTCCAGGTGTCAAGTGCTCGGAAGTAGATAAGCCGGTATGGTTACCAGATGACTCATCCACGAAGTGTTTAATGGAAGGATGTGACACATCATTTTCGCTCTTAAGTAGGAGACATCATTGCAGAGATTGCGGATGGGTAAAGGATTAACGTGTTGTTTTAAACATGTTTTCTATATTCCAGCTGATTTGCTCTAAGTGTTGTGGACGTGCTCCTTTATCCAAGTATGAATTCAAAAAAGAAATGGTTTGTCCGGAGTGTTATGATAAAATTACGGCGAAATGTGAGATCTCTGAATTCTAAGTATCTTAAACAATGGGCTGTATTCAGATGTGGATGGTACTTTATTCCCGGCTAGAATGGTGACGAGAACTGTGGACGGCACAGTTCGAATTAAGTTGAAGAAAAATGTAAACATGATTTCCTTAATCCCTCCAAAACAAATCTTGCAGAATGACTTGATCGAACCTCAATCGCTGTTTGTCCCTCCTGCGAATAAAGGACTGAAAAAGCTAAATATCGACAAGCGATTTAAAGGGGAAGAAGGAGACGTTTTTTCAAAAGTCTTTGTTAGGTAGGCTTAGATCATCATCCGCTCTTATCAGTTTATTGCAGGTCTTCTAAGAAAGGAACCGAAGTTCTTCGCTATGCCCTTCTCCGTGATGGTTGTACATTAGAGTTTTATAAAGCGTCACTTGTGAGTTTATCTTGTTTTTCCTGAAGTTTATTTTTTCCATATAAGGATGAAAAGCCTTGCGAATCAATTGTAATTTATGGTTTCACATTGAATGAAGAATCATTGGATACCGGAGGAAAAGTGTTTGAGCTTGTTCACCGGAATCAGATACAAACGGAACGTAGAGAAAATGTGATATCGTTCCGAGTAGAACATCAAAAGAGTATAGAAAAGTAAGTTTTCGCAGTTCAACATTCATTCATTAATTTTTTATTTGAAGATGGTCTTCAGCCTTACGCAAAGCTCTGGAACCTGCATAAGCTCCAGATATAAATTCAGATGAAAATATTCCTCAAATATAATAACAAACTTTTTTTATATTTTTTATCGTTAGGTTTTGCACGATGTTTTCAGCTTTTGAGCATACTAAGTATTCGTATCGCTTCCAACTCACTTACCTCTCCCAATATTTGTTAAGATAGCATTTCAAATCAGCTAGTCATATTAATTATTCTTTTTGTGATTTCCAACATTTGTGATACAGTTTGTCGTCATATCAATCCGACATTGAGCTGCTCAGTATTCTATGGGTATAACTTGACAAGTTGAATTTCTATATGCTCACTCTTTGTATAGTACTGTTCTTTCTAAATATATTTAAAAATAGCCCTGTTATTGGAATAGAGAATGAACCTCACCTGGTGAATGCAACCGGTCTGTTAGAGTATAGCACGTTAAATGACGTATGTATACGACTCATTCACGTTTGCCACGTGCGTGACGCGATAGTACAGGAGGAACGTCCTGTTTTGTAGAATAGGAAAATATATTTTTCCTCCATGTTTCTATGTATTCTATATATGTTCTCGCAGAAGCAGAATCTTCTTTAAACTTCAATCAAAAACTAGAATACTCGATTAACAAGCCATTTGTAGGTAATAATTATGTAAAAGGTATTGTCCTTTTTAGGATTTTTCGGTTTTCATAAGAAATGTTTTCGGCTGCTTGGTGTGTGATTTGAAATGAGATGTTGTATCTATCAATTTCCACTTCATTTTATTGAAGATTACATAAATATTATTTTTGTACAACTGTATATTATGCAAGAACATGGAAAAAAGAGAAAAAAATACGCTCTGTCTGCTTGAAGACCAAAAAAATATACAATTACTTGTAAATTCTTTTTCCTTTCCGACTTAAACTACTTATCTTTTTGAAGACTCTTTGACAAGGATGTATTCCAATTTTACTGACGTCAGCTTGGGAATGGACTTGTTCTCTTTTTGAAAATGGAAAACATAACTAAGGATCAGAATGCCTGAAAGAGATATAGTCCAGAACCAAAATTTGTCTTCTTGAACTTATTAATATTAACGAAGATTGCAACGAACGCAAAACTACAGACGGCCCTTAGGCGCTTAGTCATTCCAATGACGTTACATAAACTTAAAGATGAAAAGCTTTATTAAAGCTTATTGTTCTAATGACATTTAAACATGTTTTCCACGCTTGTTGCTTGTTTTCACTTAGTAGCTCTCCTCTTTCCTACTCAGACCTTCTCATTCCTTCAGATCCATCCGATTTTATGAAGTAAGAGTACAGTAGACGTTCTGTGATTTCAGAGAAATGTTGACATCTGAACTTATTCTGTTTTTCCAACATATTTTGTTTCAACAGATAATTCAGTATAGATGATGATTATGATGTAGCCTGAGAAAAGAAAAAATGAAGAATAATAACATTATTTATAAATAATTCATTCATAATCTTTTCAATTCAATGTTGTTGTTTTTAATGAAAAAAACTTTTTTTTCTCCAAATATCTGACTGCGTTTGAGGCGAAATTGAAAAATTCTGACTTTGTTCCTCTTTTTTGTTGTTCTTACATTCAGCTTTTGGTCATTCAAGCTGTCTTGCAGGTACTGGACTTTGCTCATTCGCCAAGAATTCTGTGTTCTTCTTTTGGTCTTCTCTAGCCTCAGCACCACCTACACTTGAAAGGATTGCGAGAATTACAAGTTAGCTATTTATGACTCTATAATGCCCTAATATGGAGGAAAGAGCAGATGTTCTTTACTCAATATATCAATATTGAAAATAAGAGTTTTCATATGACGTTTGATAGAAGCTCTGCTTCTTATTAAATGGACATTCTTTGTTGTTCCTATTCCTCACAAAACAACGGAAGAATCTGCAAAGAGCTCTCAATGGCAACGATTTTTGAAATTCTATAGACCATTATTCATATTCTGAATATTTTTCGTTTTTCATTGTTTTTAAAATAATTAATGATAAGCCTGCCATTTGAAACGTCTAAGAAGACTTGTTGTAAGCGTGAAATCCTCATTATCGTGAGCAATCTGTCTAAAACCTACGTGATAACCGTTGGCAGAAGTTCTGTTGATGTTTGGTTGAAGCTTCTCCCGCCTGCCATTTTACCTCTCTTCAAATAAGCTTTTTTCCTCATTCCACTGAAGCAGGAGGCAGGAAAGCAGAAAGGAAAAGCTGCTTCTATACATCTTATGATTATTTACTAATTTCCTACAGCAGTTTCTCTGAATATAAACTTATTTTGAACTTAGCATAACAAATATTCTGTACATACCACTTTCCTGAATCATTTGGTATGGAAGTGTTTATATCACATCATATCACCTGCCTCTCTCCCCCATATTTCCGATTAACTCACGTATAACTTCATTTGCTTTCGTGGAAGTTTCTAAAAAAAGTTTTGCTGTTTCTTTTTATATATTTCATCCACAGAACGGAGTTTCTCTCAGCCATGCTGCCTACTCACGTTTAGCCTTTCTTCCCATTTTTCCGCCTTTTTTTCTTCTTTCAGTCGCTTCAAATCATACTTCCATCTATGAATATTCTCATTAAACCATTTTACTTCTATCTTTACTCTTTTTTTTTGTTCAAATGAACTTTTCCATAAAAGTTATTTAATCGCTTAATTGCCTCCTACGTCAGTTTCATCTGTTCGCTTTCAGATCAAATTTCGGAGAGAATCACAAAATTTGTGTTTGAAATTAGATCAACTTCAGTTCATATCTCAATAATTCACTTAATTGATGAATAAAATGAATTATGGACAGAAGAGGAGGAAGAGAAAAAGACAGAAAATAGCCATAGCAGTGCAGTTTTCTTTAAAAGACAAGAAGAAAATACTTGGAAGCATGAAGATGTGTCTCTCAAGTAGATGATTGACTTCTTTTCTTACAAAAATAGAAGAAAAAAAAATTTTGTTGATTTGAACGAACGAAAATTCATTTTTTTCATGAATCACTCAATAGATGTTATTCGCATTAGATATTCACTCTTTTTTTCTTGTTATTGAGCTTTAATCAAGTAAAATAGTTAAGACATTCCTTTGCACAGCCAGATATATAATTTCAAATAATTTATGTAAACAACATAATTATTATTTATCCTTTTCACTTAATTTGCATATTGAACTTTCTCACATCCATTTTTGCTTCTTCATTTTTTCATTTTTTTCTTCTTCACCAACAGCCGACCGGTCGTATATGCGTCTTCGTCTGTTTCTTCTCTTCTCCATTTCTTTTCCTTTTATGATGGAAAAATTAATTTTTTCCTCCAAAATTTATTGTTTTTTCCATTGTTTTTCGTTGTCACGGATTTCATTAGTCTATTTTATCAAAAAAAAGAAAAAATTTTTGTTAAAAATCTGACATTCACGTTGTTTTTTAATTGAAATTACAGCCTTGTTTCGATGAAGAGATAGATGAAGGAGGAGAGAGAGAGAGAGAGAGAGAGAGAGAGAGGAAGGGAGATATAGAGGGAAAGATATATGGATATATTTATAGAGAGAGTTATATAGTATATATGTATATACGTATACAGAGAGAGAGAGAGAGAGACTGAGAAAGAGAGAGAGAGAGAGGTAATGAGAATGAAAGCCTTGTTTCAATACTGGCATAGCTTCTACCCCCGTAAAAACGTTATTTTTTTACAAGAATTCTAAAATAAATCTGTTGATGTTTTTTCAATCTAATTGTATATAATCAGTTCGTCTTCGCCTTAAGAGGGCGGATATGATCGAAAAACAATTCTTGACTGACGTCAACTTTCATATTTTTTTACCTCTAAACATTTATTTTAGCTTCATCTTCTCATTTTTCAAAAATTTTTGTTCACGTGTGAGCCACGTGAAACATTCAATTCATTCGTTCGTTAAGGCGATAAGAGAACGGTTGTGTCGGAGAGACGGATGGCGAAGCTTTCGTGTGTTCGATAAAACAAAATGAAATTTTGAATTTTGTCGCTTTTGTCACACTTTTTTTTCCCTTAATTTGTTGTCATTTGAGTGATTAAATGGATGAATACTATTTATTGATCATACACCAGATTGCTCTTAGCGGTCAGCGACTGAAGGCGGATTTCAAAATGCTTCTGCCGATAACGTGACTCCGCCTACTTTCAGCCAATCGTCTATAGTTTCTTTTATTTTGCTCTTTCTCATTCCATAACTTCATTTTTGTAATCTATTCAATAATATATTTTTCTACATATATAATACATTACAGGTATCGACCGGGTTATGCGACCCGATGGCATGCTGACATCCAGGTTAGATGAAAATGCAGTGCAAAGCCCTAGAAATATGGTGAATTATCTATCTCTCTCTCATACTTTATTTTTTATTTTATTTCACACAAATTACATTTTTGGGCGAATTGATTGTTTTCTTTTTTGGAATTTAAAATTAATTTCATAAAAAAGATGTTTTCATTTTAATTCTTCCATGATTTAGTATCGTTATTTACTATGCGATTCACGGCAACGGCTCATATTTCTTTGGCCATCTATGTTTTTAATATTGTTATGTTCAATAAGCACTGTTGATGCATTGGCTTTTTATGTTGGAAGTGAGTAGAGATGTCTTGAGTACTTCTATTAATATTCATTTATTAGCTTCGAATGGTCAAAATATTCGTGAACAGCCGAAATCTACTCAGCAAGATGGTGAAGGCTATGATTCAAGTTCTGATCAGCCATTGAGTCAAACCGAACGACAAACGATAATCACAGTGTGTCGAGCAGCACATGTGAGCGAGAAATTCGTGAGTTGCATTTAAGCTGATTATGGGTAATTGAATGTAAATTTTTTTTCTTTCAAGAGAGCACGACTTAAGGATCCCATAGAATTTCTGAAGATTTGCGATCATTTACTACGTCAATTTCAACAAGAAAAAGCTGCTGCAGCGGAAGCGGCTGCGGCAGCAGCATCAGCCGCCGCAGCAGCAGCATCATCATCATCATCCTCATCTACTTCTTAATCTAAATGTTATAAAAAAAATATATTTATCTAGTCTATTGTAGATAAATGCCATATAAATGCCAAATAGCTCAGTTAATGTATTTCATTTTTCTTTAAAGATAATAAAATAAGATCAAAGAATTGTGTTAAAATATGAAATCATGAAATAAAAATTTTTAAGATGTTTGCAGTTATTTGCAAACTATGATAAAGCTTTTCTTAGGTTCAAAACTTTTTTTTATGATGAATGACGCATGCTATAATAAAAATTTTAAAATATATAAAGAATGTTTCATACATTCCAATCTTATTCCAATCATGATGTCAGCATCCATCTTTAGCTGTCTTCTGGTAAGCTTTTCCTTCTTTCATACTCTTTTTAATCTTTTTCTTCATTTTATTTTAAGTTTATTCATTATATTAATGCTCAATCATATTTTGATCCTCTTATATTCTATGGAAGACCTAAACTTGGAACTCTTTATCAGCCATACAGTTCTGCTGAGTCGGTCAGTTCCCTTTTCATCTCATTTGCATATTCCGTGCCATTCCACGTCATTTGTCTTTTCATATATTCTAATCACCACATTTGCATGAATATGAAAGGATTGAAACGTGGAAAATATGTTTTCTGTTACATTCATTGCCTTTAGGACAACCAAGGAGAGACTGTCACAAATGGCTTTTTTCCTCAAAAACTTGATCATTTTAGTGATCCGTCTGAGACTTGGGGGCAGGTTGCTGAGGACTTCCCTTATACTCTTATTGAACTTTTCTTAACTTTCAGCATTATTATCATAGACGAATGCAAAATTCGCAGTTAGCCTTTCTAGTTCTAGGAGGAAACGGTGATATCACTAGGGACTGGGTATATGACCGAATATTTGTTCAAATGAAACTGTCCTTTTAGTTTATAAGTAGTGATTCACCTTATGTACGTTGGGCAGAAGATCATCGAGCTCAGCTTTTCGGATTAGAACATCGTTTTTATGGTCAGAGCAAAGCCGTCAGGTATGAAGATCATCTTTCAATCTTTGGGTTTCATCTTTCTCTTTCAGAAATATCTCGACAGCTAATTTGAAATATTTATCAATTGCTCAAGCAATGAAAGATGTTGAATCGTTCATCAATTGGCAGGTATCCAACAGAAGGGTACCGGAAACACATAAATGGATCCTTTTCGGAGGATCTTATGCAGGTTTCATCACTCTTTCGACATTTTTTTTTCAACGATTGCTTTGTAGCATCCTTAGCTTTATGGCTTCGACAAACAAATCCAAAACTCATATTTGGAGTTGTTGCCAGCTCGGCGCCCATCCAAGCGAAACTTGATGCTTATGGTTTGATAATAGTTGCTCTTACTCATCATCATGTTTGATTTAGAATATAATATGGTCGTTGAAAACTTTTTCGATAAGAATTCTGCTTGTAAAGCTTGCGTTCAAAAGATATTCGATTATGTCGTATCAGAGATGTACACTACCGCTACTCGAGAATCTCTCGAAACTGATTTAAGGTAACTCTTGCACAGAGCTATTCTTCTAACCATTATGCTTCAGTTTAAAACTTTTATATTCTAAGAAGGAGGTTTCAGTCGGATATACCGACACTCAATTCCTATTTTGGACTCTTCAACAACCCCTTCAGCTCTTAACCCAGTATTACAAAACGGGATCGGTAATTATCTGTACAATAACAGAAAAGAGAAAATTTCAATTTTCAGAGATTTGATAGCTTGAATATGACTGGGTTCTGTACCGATCTCGTCTGTCCTGCTGGCAACGATTCACTCAAGCCAGCTCTTGTAAAATTCTATGAGTTAATTAAAGAAATGTACCAAGAGTATTATGCCGTGACAATAACGAAACTAGATAATGATTATCAAAATGCTGTTGATACCCTCAAATTGGAAGATAATAATTCGACAGATTATGATTGTAAGCTACAAATTAAAATATATTATATAGTTAATAATAATTCTCAGATCAACATCGTTTATGGCTATGGCAATTATGTAATGAACTTGGATATTCCATGACAACTGATTATGGTATTTCAAGTTTATTTGATTCTACCGTATCACCGAGGTATACTGTAATCATAGTAGAACATTGAAATGTTTCAATTTTTCAGCTTATTTATCACTATGTGTAAAGATGTGTTTGATATCAATCTCGCTGGCATAATAAAAGGAATTGAAAATACAAATAATATGTTTGGAGGAATTACTGGTTATACGGTAAAGCTGAAATCTCAAATTTGCATATAAATTCTCATTCAAGGGAACAAATGCTGTATTAACCTCTGCTACTTATGATACCTTCAAATACTTCACTAAAACACATGCAACTGATAAATCAGTTCGAATTTTAACAATTAGCGGTAATTATCATAATTCATTTATATCATTATATTTATACATTATATCAATTAGATGCTGGCCATGCTTCTGATGTTTACCCGACAACTGATTCAAACATTAGAGATACTCAAAATAAGATTTCTTCTGAAATAAGAAGAATGCTAACGGCTGATATAGACCCTCCAGCAGAAGGTAACAGTATATTAATCAAATTTCAACATTATCCTGTTTCAGCATCCACTGAACTTCCTTGGAATGTTGAATTCAGAGTGAAAAAACCTTCTACTAGCGTCTTACTACCAAGAAACGACACAACTAAAGTAAAAAAAAAAACGCTTTACTTTACTATTTGCATATATTTGACTTCAGTCTTCTTTTGGACGATCTAAGCTGAGTGTAGTGACTCACAAACTCTCACAAGTGTTCTTTGGACGTCCTCCGTTTGGATTCACTCCATCACCTCAATGGGTTCTCGTATTCCTCGCTTATCCATTTTGAAACAAAAGTATTTAGGTAGAAAGCGATGAACCACCTCTTGATTTCCTCTATGGAGCTGTAAATCAACACATCGATCATGCTAATGAAGATTCAACATACTTCCGACAAGTATATCATCATATATTATTTTATATTAATTAATTTTAATTAAAGTCATATTGCCGGAATGGAGAATATCAAACTGATGATGGACCCGTATATCTAGTTATTGGAGGAGACTCCGCTATTGATTGTAATTGGATCAAAGATAATTCTTCAACTATCGTTCAAATGGCTAAAGAGAATGGTGCTGTCATGTACTTTTTGGAGCATCGCTTCTTTGGTAGTAGTGTAATCTCAGGGTAATTGATTATAATAATTAAATCAAAAGATGATTCGTTTTAGAAAACCCACTTTCGATGATTTGAAGTACTTAACCATTACACAAGCTGTTAATGATATTGGAAGCTTTGTCGCGACTGCCATGAACGATAATCGTATTGAGAAATCAAAGCCGTGGATTGCTTTGGGCTCCTCTTATGCTGGTATGTTATACATGTTCATATTACAAGACAATATATCATATGTATAATTGGATGATACGTCAAATTAATTTAATTATATAATCATTTATAGGAACTCTTGCTGCTCTGGCCCGAGCATCATTCCCTGAACTAATTGCTGGAGCTATAGCTTCATCAGCTATTCTCAATCCTCAATTCTCATATATGGGTATACATACTATAGTCAGAAGCATTAGGATGACAAGTTTATTACAGAAAACTCTATACAAGCAGATAATATAATCCAAACATCTAACAAAGCTTGTGCTGATACTCTTAAAGGTGTTTTCACCGAATTGCGAACGGATTTGTTGAGTAAACCAGATGCTTTGAAGCCTAGCGAAACCAACTTCCCGTAAATTTTCTCTGTCTTCAATTCAAGCTCAATATTTGTTACAGTGAGTTTGCTGATTGGGATCTAAAAAATCTGCCTGATCAACAATATTTCTTCTTGAACTTGTACAGCTCCATACTAGGAGCTCTTTTCTTCGACAAGGTTGATTCTTTGGTGAGAGTAACTTCCTTTCTATATCATATATCCATGAGTTAAGGTGGACTTTACACCACAATTGACTGATTTATGTACAACGGTCAAAGATGTTGCTGGGTTATCAGCATACTACACAGATACAAATTCACTTTATCAGGTATAACTTATTATATAATAGACATTGCTATTCGAAATATAGAATGGAAAAACGCTGACCAGAGATCAAGTAATAGATGTTATTCAAAAAATTTATGAAGTTGATAATACGAAAGGTATGTAATATATATCATTCATAATCAGTATAGTTAATCGGTTCAGAAGACAAAGCGACTGTTAATTGGATTTGGCTATCGTGCAATCAGCTAGCATCATTCCCCACAACTGATGCTGGAGATGGCATCTTTGGCAGTCCAACACCTGTTGAGTAAGTGCCTTTGACATGACATGAAGATCATCTTTTGATTTTAGCTTTTTCATCAACTTCTGTAAAGATACTTTCGGAACGTTATTGAACGCAGGATATAACTCATTACTAATGGAAAATGAGATTAGAGTTGTAGACTACTTACTTGGCACAATTGAAAAATCGGTATGAATGTTAAGCATTTCAGTAAACAGACATCCTCATTACAGTTAGGAAACGTTGCCATAACAAGTGGCAGCCTTGATCCAAGACTTTCATTGACAATTCCACAAATAACAGTTAATACCGACACAGTTGACAAATCAACCAGTGCTATAGATTATACACTTCTCAATGGTGATTCATATTCGAATAGTTTTCCTTAGTCTAATATGGTTTATAGGTACATCACATGCAGCGTTGTTCTATCCAGCTTCAGCTAAAGATTCAACGGAACTCACAAATGCACGGAAAAAAATAACTGACGAATTACGGAACTGGCAACCTGCACCTCCTCCAGTTACATATGCGCCACGTACATCAACACGAACGCCCAATAGTAATGTTACAAGAGGTCCAAATGTAGAAACATCTACAAGTAATAACACTTTATGATAATAATAATCATTTAATATATTAAATTTCAGAGAGTGCTGTCACAATAGGAAGATATATGATTTCAGTTATATTGTTTGTACTTATATTGTAATTTCACATCAAATGTATATTACCCAGACACTCAGAACGGTTACCTTTTTCCATCTTTTATGTTTCACTTTTCCTTTACTTATAATTATTATGTTTATGTCTAACAAAAGCAACAACACACATGATTGTTCGCTTTACGAAGAAGAATATTAAAGACAGTTGTTTCTCTTTCTTTTACTTTTCTTTTCTCAATAAATTGGTAACTGATCAAAGCGGGGGAGGACTGTCTTTGCGGTTTATTTTTATCTTTTCATTCATTTCATATATGTATGAATGTAAGTTAAATATACAATTATAGTTAAAGATATACATATATAGATGGATAGATGGATTGATCATCTTCTTCATCTCTTCTCATTCATCGGGTTCATAGATGTATGTTGCTATTGTTCCATTCAATTTCTTTGTTTTAAGCATCATTTTTTTTCTTATTAAAGTAATTATAGATACTTGATGTTAAGCTTTTCAATGAAATATCTTCTTCGAAGTTCCAATGATTTTTTTGAGAAAGAAAAAAAAATAAAATAAAAGTAAAGCTCTTAGTGCAAGAGATACAGACATTCATAGAATAAAAGCAGTCTGTTGGCCGGTGCGGGGGCTGAGGAGAGAAAGGAGGAGCTGGCACAGCCAACGGCATTACAACATGAGACCTGAGGTTCTTCCCTCCCCACAAAACTCTCTTATTCTCTATCTTTAAATCTCTTCTATCTCTATAATATTTCAGAGGCCATTAACTAATGTCTTCTGATTTGCAATGATATCTTCTTCTCTTTTTTCTTCTTCAATCTCTTTTTATCAGCATATGTTTCGCTGAATGCTTTCTCTCTAATCTAAGCTTCTTCTTCTTCTTTTCTTCGTATATCCCCCACAACCTCCAACAACTAAGCAGCCAGAACTTCCAAGCTTTCTCAGCATCAGCGTCTTCCACCTTCTATACTGTTGAAATTATTTCTTTTTTTTTCTTCGTTTATTCTTATATTTATAATTATATCTTTTATTACGAAATTGTATAAACTGTGTTGACACTGCCTTTCAGCTTATAAACTCTTTCTTTAACTTCTGTTTCTACCTTATCACTTGATATCAAAGTTTCTAATCATTCAAGTTGAAACATCACTGAACGGCTGGCAGCTGGAAGATTTCCGAGAACAGCCCAATACGGACTTCAGGAAATAATAGGATGAATGAATTCTAAGAAACTTTTTTCTAACTCACACAACTCATATGAAATATCTGAAAGAACACAACTATTCTCTTCCACAAAATTATTTTGAGCCATAATATTCAACAGATTCTATTAGTTATCCTCTTCTCAAACAACTTTAGGTTTTCCTTGAATTTTCTCTTTTGCTCCATTTTGCTTTTCTTTTAAATATCTTCTTCTCTCCTTCTATTTTGTACTATTTTCGTTCCTTTTCATCCGTTGTAGGAAAATGATGGGTAGTAAGGGAGAAGATCTGTTCTTCTCCACCTCCGCTATCTCCCTCGTCCTCTTGCCTATGGCCACATGTCAAACGAGGGCAGCAAAAGCCTGTCTGTTCTGTTTTTCACATATACTGCTTCTCTTTTTCTTTTTTCTCTGTTATCTCTTCATGTCTTAGGTTCTTATATAATCTTTTATCTTCATTCAAGCTGATCAGTTCAGTTGTGTCCATCTTAATCACAGATCATTCCTTCCGTAACCTTTCATATGCTCGTTCTTACCAACTTTTATATGTCTCTCTCTAGCTTAGCTGTATTGTAAAATGATAGTTACTCAGTTTTTTTGTTTAAGCGAATAAACCAGCATGTCTGCTATCGACGAAGTCCGTTACGGTGGCATCCAGGCCGATGACTCCGGAGATGTAAGTTTTTTTTTTCTTTTGAGAAAATCCAATATTTTTGAACAATATAATGTTCATTTATGATTACAATGATTCTCTATGTTTAGGACGCTGCCCGTAAAGCCCAAGAACGTGAGGCCAAGAAGGCTGAAGTTCGTAAGCGCTTGGAAGAAGCTGGAAACAAGAAGAAGTCCAAGAAAGGTTTCTTGACTCCAGAAAGAAAGAAGAAGCTCAGAGTTCGTTGGATACGTGATATCATGTAACATGTAATTGATTACAGAAGCTTCTTATGATCAAGGCTGCTGAAGATCTTAAGAGACAACAATTGCTCAAAGAACAAGAACGACAAAAGATTCTTGCTCAGAGAACAATTCCTCTCCCAGATGTTGATTCCATCGATGACAAGGGTAGGTATAAGAGAAATATAAAAAAACAAACAAACATATAGTTATACATATACACATATATATGAAATAGTTAAAAGTTTACATTTTTTATTCAATGAATTTTACACTCTGCTTATCGGTCAACTCTCTTCAGCTTTTTCTATCACTTACTGCTCATTTCTCTTTCTTCCCTCCTTTCATACTTTCTCCCATCTCATATATATGTGTAATGAAAGCAAAATTAATTCAATCAATTATTCTATTACCTTATTGAATTATAGGTAAACTTGAACAGATTTACAATGATATGTTCGAGCGTGTTTGCAAACTCGAAGAGGAGAAATACGACATCAACCGCATTGTTACTCAAGCTGAGGTAATTCAAATTATAAAATCTATCATAATTCTCAATTTATTCAGTCCGAGATTAACGAGCTTACCATTGCCGTTAACGACCTCAGAGGAAAATTGTAAGTTGAAACATAAATGTATAAGTAATTAGCTTAACCTGTTTAGCGTCAAGCCAACATTGAAGAAGGTTTCCAAGTATGAGAACAAGTTCAAGGCTGCCATTAATAAGGCTGGAAACGTATGACTATCAATGATGACAATCATCATCATAATCATCTCTTTTACAGCAAAGCGAGAAGCAAGACTTCCGTGCCAACCTTAAGGTTGTCAAGAAGGAGAACACCATCGAAAACATCATGAGCAAGACCAAGAAGAACACCGAAAAGCCAGATTGGTCTAAGAAGCCAGCTACTGATGAGCCAAAAGAAGAAAAGAAGGAAGAGGTTTATTATAATATCTTGTATTGATATTGTTAATCCTATCACTGTCAGGAGCCACAAAAGGAGGAAGCCCCAGCTGAGGAGCCAGAGCCAGCTGCTGAGGAAGGTACTATTGATAGTTAACATTTGTAACATATAGTTAATGATAAACTGTTATAGTAGAAGAAGAGGAAGAGGAGGAGGAAGAGGAGGAAGAGGAATAAGCATCACATGCCTCCACCACCAATTATCTCCATCATTGGCACTTTTTTGTCGACAAAAAGAAATAAATCATATATTGTAATACATTTTGAATAATACTTTCTCTCTTCATTACCATTTTAAATAGATTTCTTTGGTTGAAAAATGAAATTACAAAAAAAAAAGAAAAAGAAAAGAGAAAAAATGAATTTGTGTGTTCGTTTTATCTTTTTTTTCATTTTCAATTCTTCGTCTTCTTCTTTTATATAATTTTTGAAACAAAAATGAATAATTTGATATTAATGTTGATGTAGAAATGGAGAAAATATCTTTAACACTTTCATCAAACACACACAACACAGGTTGTTGATTACAATTATCAATTTTCAATCAACAATATATCTTTTATGCTTAAATAAAACAATGCTTCATTTGCATAAAATATCATTTTGATTGCTTCGTATATCTACTTGCGTCCAAAGCGTATCAAAGGAGATGAAGCTGCTGGAGAACGTCCAAATCTCACTATGGGAGCTCCCATGCTTCGTCCAAATCTGTAAATAACAATACTATTCAATTATACAAGAAATTAGCATATAGGAACTCTGCTGCGACATTCACGTTACACTCGTCTACTTCTTTCTATGAATTCATTTTTGCATAATATTCACGCATATACCGGTCGCATTCAAACATTTTGCTTACCTGATCAATGGAGCTCCAGAGCTTCTCTTTCCGAAACGAATGAGTGGAGATGCTTCAGGGGCACGGCCGAATCTAAGCAGCCATCGTTATTCCATCATTCATCATTAAACCGTCTAAATACCTGATTATTGGGGCTGAGGCGTCTTCGTAGCTTCTCTTTCCAAAACGAATGAGAGGAGAAGCTTCTGGTGCACGACCGAATCTATAAAAAAAGAAAAATTGAAAGTAAATATTGAGATAGGTCAAAAGAAATATGCGAATTTATGATTCCATTCAAAACATAAGCGTTTTCAACTGTTTGTCGATTATTTGCTTTGCTGTGAGTTAATGCTGCTCATAAAGTGAAATCTATAGAGAGGAAATGGTTTAAAAAGCCTCCGATTTCCAGAATTTCAACACACTCTCATCCACGATGACTTCGAAGATGCTCATTCTCATAAGCTGGAGTGCCGTAATCCTGATCACGTCTGCTTGTACTCCCACAACAAGCGACACGCCAGTTGAGGAAACTCGGAGACGACGTGATGTTTCTGGTTCGGAAACGTCATTGGTCTCGGTTACAATCGTCAGTACTCAACCATGGAATCCGGTGACCAATGATGCCAACTTGAGCAGTGTTCGTCAGCTTATTCAATCATTCGAACTCCAACATGGTATTCACTACGATACTGATCGTCTTCAACATGAGACTCGGAACATTGGAGGGAAACTAGCTGTTCACTATCAACTTAATGAAAATTGCGAAAAAGTAAATGCGTTTGTTGAAGAAATTCGCAAGGCTTATTCTAATCACATTCAATATGGATTGGTGGTCTGTCCTCATCAACCTTTGTCTGTCTTCTAATGACTTTTCAATAAATCCTTTCATACTTTATACAACATGTTGTTAATGTTTTTACCTTATGAGAGGAGCAGAAGCTTCTTGTGGAGAACGTTTTCCAAATCTAATGAGAGGAGAAGCCAGTTCCTGTAATGAAAGGAATCAGAAACGAACACTTCTTTCTATTTAATTTCACAAACATATTGTATACAAAAGAGAGAGAAAATAACTTTGTTTATGGAGCAAAAACTGAAAAACAGAATTATTGCATGTGTAATCCATCTTAAGCTGATTATAAGTTTGCCCTTTGTTTGCAAATTTTTTTTTGTGGGAAAAAAAAGAAAGAAACTGTAACAAAGAATCACCTCATATGATCTGCCATACCGATAGAGATCTTCGCTTCTTTTAGAAGTTGGATCTGAAAAAAAGTTTTGTTCAGTTTATTCAAGGAGTTAGTAAGCTTACAATCTCCTTCAAGCATCCGGATTTCACTTGAATCGAAAGCTTGTCCAATAGAAAGGACGGCGATTAAAAGACAACAGCAAAGAATTTTTGACGAAGATGAGAAGGTTTTGGACATCATCGTTGTTCTCGGAAAATTGAATTCTCAAAGAAATAAATAAATATGGCGCTTGTTAGTGTTCGTGATGGTTGGCGTTGTCTGAGAAGACAATAGCCGGGGACCGAGTTTGAAGATGAGCTGTAAGAAAGAAATCTTAGTCATATATAAGAAAGACATATACGGAAATTATCATCTAAATATGGTAATGAGAATAGTTGAAGAAAGCGAAATGAGGCGAAAAACGAGATGAGATGTGGGATTTGTGAAATCAAGGAAGCGGAAGATCTGGTCAAGATGATAGCAGATGGAGCAAATGAAAGTTGCGTCGTCATCGTATTTGGAAATAGCTAAGAGGAGGAAAGAAAGGAATGAGAGAGCTCAAGAGCTAGACTGAGTTGTCCATGGAAAGAAAGCTAAAACAGTTTTGTTTCATCGAGGAGGTTGTACGTGGTTATATCGAATTACAAGTGCTTAATATGCTTGAACTTGGAAAGTGACGTAAAGGTTTTTGAGATGAAGTGACTTCAAGCACTCTTGAAGTGTCTTACATAATTGCATGTTAGAACCAATTGCCAAATAGCTTATTTCATAAAGAAATGATGAGCAGCTTAATTAAAAACTTTTTTTTCCCAGACATGGAAATTGGGCTGGACAGCAAAAACAATCTTCAATTTGATATTGCGATACGGAATATTTAACGTTTAAAATTCAATTTTTCTGTCAATTGGAGAAAAATAAAAGTTAAACAGGCCATTAGACAAATTAAACGAATTGATTTGGAGAGGATAATTAACCCTCAACGAGGACTTCCATACTCAATACTATAACAGACTCTTAACATTCTTCGATACACAAAAGGATGAATATGTAAAGCATGAACGAACATCTCTTCATCAACAGCCTTTTCTTCTCGACCACAACCGTTTTTCCGGCTTCTTACGGAATCGGAAGTTGGTCATGTTCAAGCCATCTGAACCCTCTGTTTGAAGATTATTCACCCTGCTTCCGGGTGAAATTTCAAAGAGGATGCCAACAGAATTGAGTGAAAGGTGGTAATGGGGATCAACCTCTATGAATATCATGGAAAGAGAGAGAGGATTGGAAAAAGAGGGAGTGAACAAGACAGGAAGAAAGAGAAAGTGCTGAAAGAGACAACAAGACAAAGGAAGAACGAGTGGGAGCTGGAATCTGAATACAGTTGTTCAGCGAAAAAAGGGTGAAAGCTAAACTTCATCCAAATGTTATTCTTAGAATATAAAAAAGGCACGACTATCCATAATTTGATATGAATGATGTCATATAGTTTCAGGCATTCAAAGCAAGAAGGTGTAGTCTTGATTATGCTGCCTCTGAAACCTCCGTCATCTCTCTGATGACATCAGAAACTTGAGCTCTTTGCCAGAAGTGACTGGTTAGGTTACGAGGTAAAGTAAGATTTAATAAAGGGTAGATCAACGGTTAAAAGATGCGGAGGAGGAGAAGTTTATTATATGACAGGTGAGTATAAATAAAAAGAAAAGCTAATCCTATTAATCTTCTCTCTTTGTACCTATCGGAGAAGCAAGAAGCAGAAAACCAAACTGTTTTCTTGTCCGACCTATTTCAGAAACAAAACAGTCTCACGTTTCACGTCTTTCTCATAAATTTTATTTTTTTTCTTCATTTACTAATTTGACTAAAAGGATAAATCATTCTGAAATGGAGATCAATGTTTTACATTTGCATAGGATTGACAAGTTAAGCTTCAAACTCAAAATAATATCGAACAAACAGATCAGACGTTCCGATCCTTGTGAAAGAAAACTGAGTCAAAGGAGATGATCACATCATAATCCACGAAACAAAGACAAAATATAGAAAATCCCACAAATTGAGAGAGGATTGAGAGGCTATAGATGTAAAAGCCTTTTACTATATCCACCAATCAGTTTAAAAAAAAACGAATTTCAATGTTTTTTTTTTTGGTTTCAAACAGCAGATGAAAGCAGACTCTAACTGAATTCTTGGGATTTCAATTGAAATAGAAAAAATAATTTTATTTTATTTATTTATTTTTCATTTTTATGTTTATTTTGTGGATTGAAGATTTAGAAGCTTCAATCAACAATAAGTTCCTCATCTAGAGATATGCACATACTAAGTTTTCTCATAAATTTATTATTTTTTTATTATTTCATAATTAATGTCAAAAGATCTTTCATTATTTAGAATATTTAATAGTATTGCACAATTACCTATAAGCTACATAAGGAGAATAGTTCAGCTTCATTGACGGCAACTGATATTTGATCCAGTTTTACCTCCCCCACCTACTCCTCCTTTCATTTTCTCTCTCTCTTTCTCTCTTTTTTTCTCTCTCTATCAATTCTTTTTTTATATTGTTTCCTTCCATTCTACATAATCAAAATATGGTTTTTTTTCTTTTAAAAGTCAAATACAAGCAAGCTTGATGTCATTCAGCGTATGTTTGCAACTGAAAAGAACAAGACTAAATTAACAACAAAAAAAGGAGGGAAAGATTGGAATGATTGACCGATCATTCGAAAATATTTGTCCTTACCGTATGAAAACAACACTTCAAACCTATTTTTTATTTTGTTTTACAGTGGAAATGAAAAGCTGAATATCTATGAAAAGCTCAAGCTGAGACGTAAATGAAGTCAAATACATAAACATCATGTAACTGACTTGTGAACATATAGGGGAAATTGGACAATAATACTTTCTGGTGCGTAGGTTGAACGTGGGATCGGAATAGTTGACAAAAACTTTTAAAAGACTTAATATGCAAAGGCTTGAAAAATAAATGCAACCACTGAGCATCAAGGAACAGTCATAAATGAAATTTTACGTGGCTTCCACGTAATTCAAAAGCTAACTTATCTCATTTGCATATCATATGGCTTCTATTAAATTAGTATATTACTTGACACAAATAAATGAAGTTTTAGAGTGGAAATTTCACAAATTATTTTCACAAATACTGATAATGACGTCAGATGAGGTTTTTACAAAAATAGCTTCAGAATTGAGAAGACAACTCACAATTTTGCAGCTGTTGAATTTGAAAGGAGAAAAAAGAGGGTTTCAGGCTTTGGGAATGCTAGACAAATAAGGAGAAGTAAGCACCCAATGACTGAGGTCTTGACTGTCATTTCACTATATAAATCTCTCCAGTAGCTCCACCCCTGAATTTCTCCAATTGCTGGTCATTCAAATTGAATTTTTGGTACATGGGCGCACAATTAAACGGATTACGTGATGACTTCATCAAACACTTAACGAATATTTGGAAAACAAACATATTTTTTATGAAATTTATGCATTTCAGTAGTTAATTTGATAATAAATTATCTTCGCTGAAATCTAGTCAAGTAGCAGAGCTGAAAAGGTGTAGTTTTCAGGAAGAGCTCTCAGCTCCGAATGTTGTACGAAGCTTAATTTAAAATTTCTCCAAAAAAAAAAGGAATTTTCACACGGGGGTTGAATGTGGGAAGAAAAGGAATACACTCTATCCACATTATCAGTCTGACCAAGAAACCTAACACGAGTCCTCCTCCAACAATTTATTTGATGGCGATCTAAAATTAACTTATGAAAAGCTAAGATAATCCCATAAATTAATTTGCCACATTTTTCCTTAAAGCAAGAGTGTCCTTCCATCATCAAATGAACTTTGTTATTTTCTGCCATTTTCAACTTCCATCCATAGCATTACCGTATGTTCATGGATGTAGTCATCATTAAGGATATTATTCCTTCCAATAATCATTTAGCTTATTATAGCCCACAATCAACCAAAAACTGAACCTGAATTTCGTTATGTTCAAACGTAAGAGATGCTTTTAGTAGAATTACATTTGCTGAGATCATCCCAAAACAATCAAATGAAGCCTGCCTACCCACTTTATTTCCGAATCAGAACAGTCTTTGAAACGTAAGCAAGAACATCACTGAACTAATCGCTTTGATCTTAACTTTTTTTAAAAGAGTACAGATATCTGATTCCCAGTTCAAGATGTTTCTATTTATAACTCTGGTTATATATACTCGTGTACCACTTCTTAGACATCATTAAGATATAGGCAGTGAAATCATTGAGAATTAAATTGGTCAATGAATGCCCGGAAGCTATTTAGATAAGCGTTGGCCCAAAACATTTCATTTATTTGGCAATTAAATATAGCGGGAAATGAAGAATCTAGAATCTGTAAAAAGAAAATGTAAAATTTATTCAGAGCTATATATGCAAATATGAGTTTGAAGAAAAGGTGGAGTATACTATTGCCTTCATTGCTGCAGTGGCGTACGTGTACGAAAAAAATGGAAAAAAATTTTCCGAAAAGTTTTAAAATTCAATAGTTGACTATGAATGCTGGCAAGAATATCAAATACTCGAATGGATAAGACGGCAAGAACTGTACAGGATCAGAACAGGCTTGGCAAGAACTAACAGAGCTCAAATGAGAATACTATGATAATGATTTCTGTGGGTTCCAAGAAGTACATGAGAAGTCGGAAAGTTCAAAAGGTTTTAAACTTCTTTTTTGGAAGCTACCAATCCTGTGAACAGACGGAATACCTGAAGAGGGTCTCACTAAAGATGATATTTCTCCAAATAAAACTCACTCCCGAAATAGACTGGAAGACTCGACTCGTCTCGAATTGTCCCGTACCCCAGAATCGGAATTCCTCTTCTTTGGCATATTTTCTCTTCATTCTTGACCTCAGACTCATTTTTGGATTGGTGGCGAAATCATACATCATCCAAATCCAGCTTTCGTGAACTTTGAGGTTATCATAATATTCGGGAGCTATTTGACGGACCTAAAGAGGCAATTGTTGGATGTCCTTATAAGTAATATTATATCTGATTTCTTTCAAAAAGACAATTATTCCTTTAAAAGTACCTAAAGTCATACAAATGAGCAAAAACGCAAGTTTTGTATTGAATTTCAAAGTAACCTGAGCTTTTCTTATGACGACTTATAGTTTAACAAACAAAATAAAGAATTGTCTCTTCAATTCGATTTTATATTCGAATGAAACGTACCTTAGGAAGATTGCATCCGGGAACGAACGGGAAATCGTGATGTTCAACATGATAACCAACATTGAACGTGACCAAATTGATTGGTCCATAATAGCTTTACGAAGAAATGATAGAGAAGACAAAAAAAATAATTTACCTGTAGGTCTCTTGTCCAGGTTCGAATGTATAGTGTTCGGAGACGAAATGACCAGCTAAAGGATGTAACCCCAAGCCGAGAACGAAACCAATTGCGAGATAAGCTAAAGCTTTGGGCCCGAGAGTGTAATAGAGGGTGACATCAAATACCAGCTGGATGATAAGGTTGATAAGTTCCAGATCAGTAAGAGACTGAATTGATAAAATTGATTAGAAACGAGAGAAAGATCAAATTACTTTAGGATATATAATTAAAGGTCTTGTTCCATAGAAAAGGGGTTGGAGGAACATCCAAACTGTCTTTCCGAGAGTGTTGTTGAAGATTCTAGCTTCGAACTCTGTGGGCACATCTGTGTCTATTATATCTTCGCCTAGAGGGGATGGTTTGAATCTACATAAAATAGAATAAAACTACCTAAGTTTCTGTGATGCTCAAGATGATATTTTTTGAACGAGATGGAAACAGGTATCAGGAGAGGTAAATTCGCTACAAATCCAAATATCCTATTCTAAACAATAACAGCATGAGAACAAGAGAGGGAGAACAAGGATACCGCCAGAGGGCTACCACACCCGAATGCTTGATTATGACTGATTTCATGGATAGCAAGAGTCAAAGAATGATTAAAAGTTCCGGAAACCATATAAGCTTGTAGGAGGATGAGAAACCAATCAGCATCTCAAAAAAATTATAAAAAAACAAAGCTCGTGATATCTCACCTCTCAAGAAGTAGGCGAAGCAGATTTGAGCTATAACCATACATACTACAACTATTTTGAAAGCGGGATCTTGTCCAAAGAGTTCTTTGATCTCCGGATGTTTCTTTAGTATCTCAACACGTCTATAATTACAAGTTACAGCTTAAGCAGAAGACATTGAGCACCTGGTCGCATGCGGCTCTTCTGTGTACGACCACTGAAAATCAGCCTTGGTGACGGTTTGACCCATAGCTGAAGTTACGGAAAAGTAAGTACAACGAATAAAATCAATATAATGAGATGAGAAGAAGAGATTATGGTGTCAATCAAATGATGAACAACTTCATGGAAAGTGAATAAATCCGTGAGAGAAAGAAGAAATATAGATGCGTCGATCTTTTACTGAAAACCAATTCATTAACTGATAGTAAGCGAGAGTGCTTTTATCAGTAGGAAGAGATAAGAAAAAACGGTAACCATGCAACATAGCTAGGCGGAATTGAAAATACAGTCTGAGCATGAACTCAAAAACATCATTTAACTGAAAAAATGATAAGAAACTCATAAACATTTTATCATGTAACAGCTAAACAGTAAAACAAACAAAACAATCTTCTATCTATACTAGAACTTCATAAGCTTCATAAGGCAGCTGCTACCTCTTCTTCTTCTACCTTTTTCTCTTCTTTTTTCTTACCCTTCTTGTTCTTTCTCTTCTCGATCTGAATGACCATAAATTTAGAACTTCGACAGAAAATAGATCATACTTTCTCTATTTCTTCTTCTGTTGCAATAGGAAGCCACTGCTCAACATCAATTGCAAAGTGATCTTCTCCTGGTACGGTCATCAAAAGAGCTCTGAACTTCTTTATAACCGAAGATCAAGCAAACTAAAACACCTATTGACAAAGGGGCCTAAAGCGGGGTTTCGATGGTCACAAGCTGCAGCTATCACAGCTCCTATATTCGCTTCAATTTGATCATCAGGCATATTGAGCTGAAAAAACAAATAAGGATGGCTAGCAAACTCGCCTACTCTGCCAACAATAGGATCGCAAATACCCCATATAGGATAAACTGGGTCTGCCTTTATATTTAATTTAACACCATTTTTGAACTTTTCAATAAGTTCAGGAAGATTTTCCCCTAAGCCTCCTGAACAATTGCCTTAGAAACGCCATGAGCAACCTAGACGAACCGTTTTTTCTAGTCGGGAAACGAGTCTTTAAAATTCCACGTAAGGGCAGAATGAAAGAAGCCATGTCTAGATGAGACACACAAAAATCATAATCGTCTGTGCGGAATTGTCCTTTCATTATCTGAAGTTAACTGTTTTGAGGCTAAACGCTCCGGCGTCTCACCTTCTTGATCATATCTTGACCTAAGGCAATCTCAGCTCCGTTCTCAATAGCTAATTCTTGCAGCTTTGGATCATTAGCAAATGCCAAGATTGTCCTTTTCTCGCTATGGGAAAATGGGAAGGGCACAGGAACAATTTCATCTGAACTTGAAATCATCTTTGTCTGAACTTAGAATATGAGTAATTATTTATTATGGTAGAAGAAACCTGTCGTTCTGTTGACATGTTCAATTCCAGACGTAATCTTAGAGGTGCTTTGGGATTATTATAAATAGAGGGTTGTTGCAATTCCCTATGCATCGCTAATGCTTGGGAAACTGAATAAAATTGTGTTTTTACATTACTTCTGCAAACAGAAAGTGTGAAAAAATATTTAAACGGGTTTACCTAATAAATATATTCGTTAAAGGCTTATCGGGTAAATGAGCTTCGTCCTCACGAATCAATCGACCAGGGAACTGCTGAGAGGGAGAGAGCCTCAAAACTTTTAATGAAACACTTAAACTTAAAACAGTACGAACAGTGTTTTCATTCGTCGAATATTGATTCTTTCCATGAAGTTATACTGTTTTCTAGCCGCCTCTTTCTCTTCACGCTTTATACGACGTTCCAACTTCTGCTGTCGAGTCATAGTCTGTTTCAAAGCACGTTTACGTCCTGTAAAAAGCTCCAATCACAGGTAGTTAGAAGCAGTACGAACCTCTCTGTTGCTGGATTGAAGCAGCAAGCAGTGAAGGTTGCAAGAAATCCAGAGTCGCATTGTTAACGGATCTTCTTATAAGAGAAAACATTCATAAGCAGTAGCGATCTAATTACCTGAAACTATAAAAAATATTTTCAAAACGTCTTTTTCAATAAATAACAAAAACAGACTATATGAAAGGTCATTGCATTTATGAATTTGAAACATGTGGACCGGTCGTGCAAATCATTCTTACGCCGAGCGTGACGCAGTGCGGTTGAATTTGTATATATTAAATTTTTTTGAGTTATGAAGCGAGTTATGTTGAATGATGTACAGTTGCTCGGATATGAGATAGTTTTATAACATATTAGCTAATTGAATACAAAACCCTCGTTTTTCAGACTTTCAGGGAAGAGCTTGGGTTTTTTCTTAACGTTGTAAGGTTGAATGAATTAAATGGGATTATATATTTTTATGCGTAATCCAAAAGGCTTCTTTGTTTATGGTATAATTAGCACTTCAGGCTTTTACCTCTGCTCTATTGTGAAGGTCTAAGGAGAAAGGTTCCTGGCGCGAAAATATAATTTATTCGCGAGGCGATGCGAGGCGGTCGCTTATGAGGGTCTCTCACAAGATGACTGTTTTATCTAAATACTCTAAACATTACAACAAATAAGCTTAAATCAGCATTTTAACTGTTTGTTATATGTATATAGTTTATATTTTTAATTATCAAGATAATATGTAGGAAAATCAATCTCTATATATAGTATTTGACCATTATTCTATTAATTGCTTTTGAATGAATTCATTGTTCGTTGAATTCTATTGAGCATTGTCAATTCATCCGTGTGCTTGTAAATGTCCATTCGATTTTATAGAATGGCTGGTGGTGCAGGAGAAGTCCCAGATAGCGAGAAGGTACGCATTGCATGCGATTTTCTGGAACATGCCCCTCCTGGAGAGTTCAATGAGGTTAGTTTTTGGTTTTAGTCATGTTTATGTTTCCATTAGGTTTTCAATTCTGTTCGAATGTTACTCAACAATGACAATCTTCTGAAAGAAAGATGTGCCCCAGCTATTGCTCAATACAACACCAAACAATTCGTCCCAGTTAAACTAGATGGGGTAGAGAAACAAGTATTGATTTCTAAAAACTTTTGTTGGGTTAACTGGCTTCATTTCAGACACTTGTCACACCATATAATGACTTAGGAAATGGTAAATTCTTTGATGATAACTCCAAGAAAAGTTTCAAATACGATCATCTTCGAAAGGAAGCGAGTGACATCCAACCTTATCAAGGTGAAGCTGGTGCAATTGAGTCATGGAGGGCAGCTCTTCAAAAGGTTTCACAATCTTAGAAGTATCATTCATTCTGTTTATATGATAGGAACTTGATCATTACATCGATGAACACTTTTCGAAATCTGGTGTTGGGTGTGTATTTGTCCGTAATGGCAATATCACTATTTGCATTGAATCACATCTTTTCCAACCAAAGAATTTTTGGTATGTTTTGTTTTCTCTCATGGTGACTACGTTTTTCTTAAAGCAATGGAAGATGGAGATCAGAATATACTTTACCTGTAGGGGACGGAAAAGTTTCTAGTTTAGAGCTATCGGGAAAAATTAAAGTGCAGGTTTGACTAATCTTTCAAATTGGTTCACGTATATATGCTTGTCAGGTTCACTATTATGAAGATGGTAATGTTCAACTTTTCTCCGAGAAGGAAGTTAAGAGTTCAGTAAACGTGTCTTCTGTAAGTTCAAAGTTCATAATGATGTTTATGTTTTTGATTTCAGTCTGATGTCGACAAATCAGCCAGAGATATTCTTGCCGCTGTTTGCGAAGAAGAAGCGAACTATCAGGTAATGTGGTTTTATTTTTTTCTCTTTTTAATGTTCTTTTCTATAGTTATCTGTACAAGAGAACTATACTTGTATGTCTGAGAATACTTTCAAAGCACTTCGTCGTCAGTTACCTGTGATTCGCGCCAAGATGGACTGGCATAAGGTATATAGTTCGTGAATTTCCTATCTCATCCGTTTTTTCACAGGTTCAATCTTATCGCATCGGACAAGAGATGAAGCCTCAATAAAGCATTAATATTGATCATTACCGAGCTTCGTACTTTACTTTATTCGATTCTTTATTGCTTCTCACGGCTTTCCTTTTATATGGGCTGTCGGTCTTTGAAACAGCTAGTTGATACTGCCAGAAGCCCCGCGTGTTTTTAACTTTAACACCCTCTAGTTGGTTTAGTGTTTGTAAATTTTTTGCACATTCTCCTATTTATTCCACTTTATTCTATGTTCGCATGCCTTAAAGCCTCAATGTTTCTTAGGAAGCGTCCAGTCAACTCACCTGAAAAATTATGAAAATACTGATGCTTATGTAACTGTATTTGTATTGCTACATAAATTGTTTAAAATCTCCTCATGCTATCTTCCAAAAACTGTTCTCGAACCAGTGAATATCTCGCTTGATTTACATAGCAAGACGAAATATGACCATTCTAGATGTCGGACTCTGCCATTCTCTCTAATCTCAATTCCACTATCGTTCCTAACTTACTGCAAGCTAATACTAGTGAATACGATGTTGATAACGCTACGAGCATTCTCACCACACTTTCATCAACAACAATTGTGAGTCATCCATAACGATTTTTGTCATTTTTTCTCTATTCTAGTCATCATCAACACCCTCACCATCACCTGTAACCACTTCACTAACAAATATTTTAAGCTCAACTCTTAAAAGTGACCTTGCTTCACCCGTAGACTCTAAATCTACATCAACCTCGGGATTACTTCTATTTTCTCTAATAATATTTATTGTTGCCACTGCACTTATCGGAAAGATCATCGCCAGTAAACGCAAAAAGTATCTCAATTTCTTTTGACATGTTTTCATCGTCTCTATTTAAAGAAGATCTGATCTTATTGGAGGGAGTGCACGTTGGAGGCTCGCCGCTTCCCAACAGTCTGGCTCTGGTCCTTCTCGAACTGCTGCTAACTACGCTCCAATGGATACAAGAAGACCTGGTGCACCAGGAGGTCTTGATGCTCCTGGTCCTGACAGAAATTTGGATTGGGAACGTCAATTCTTTGACGATTCTGAGCCTGTTGTGAGTTTTCCATAGTGTTATCGAGAGAAATAACGGGGCAGGAGTTTTAGATCAATGTTGTACTTTGAAAAAGGTTTGTCATTGTTGTATTGTGCATGTGAAGAGAGAATGACTTACTTTTTTACATTGATTATCTTAAACTTTTCTAGGAACCATCACGCCTTCGTTTCGAGTTCGGTCGAAGCAATGTGTAACACCTGTGTTTGAATGAACTTCATGCTTTATTGTTATCCGGGCATTTCGCATATATGTGTTTATTTTATTGATAACAGTGTATCCATATTTCAGATGTATATCTCTTATAGTTGATCATTATAGTCATTCCATTGTCGGGCGATTTCTTCGGTTGTTTCATGTATTTCAAGGATTTAATAAAAAGTCGAATTGTTTAGAAATTCATTTAATATATAGCTGTTTCTTGCTGTCTAGTATGCCTATAATAGGTAATACTTTGGTTTTCTATTGGAGTTGAAGGAGATATGGCAAACTTCTCGGCGCTGTGAACTGAATAAGGACTCTTTCCCTCAGGAGAACGTGACGTGTCCCTCCTTGGTGATCGCGGTGTGGGTAAAGGCCCTAATCGAGGAGAAAGACGATCCGGGTCCATTGCTATAATCTCCTTTCGTCCAGAGTAAGAGGATATCTTAAACTTACAGGAACCACGAGTTCTCCGCACACTACTGGACCGTGAGTGAGAGGAAGAAGATCTCTTACATCTCCTAGATGTTCTCACAGAGCCTCCTAAATAACAAGCTTAAGAAAAAATCGGAAAACACATCAAACCATCTGACCAAAATTTAGAGAATTCTTTAACGCTTCTATTTGTATTTCTGAGTGACGGTTGTCGCCTGGGTAAGTTTCCTGTAGCTGGAGCTAAAAAGAATTAAGGAAATGATGTAAGAGAATTAAGCCAATCCTTACCACTACTACAAGCTCGTACTCTTCTTCGTGCTCCACTGAATTTCGCAGCACGATTAGCTGATTGACTACTGCCCATTTATTCTGAGATATAAGAAATATTAAAATAAGAGTAAGTAATGAAACAACTCAGCAAGAATTGCTATTAAAGGATAATCCTATTGGTCGGCAGGAAATGCCACTTTTGTTATTTCAATATTCGTATATAACAACATTTCTTATTTAAAGTATGTAAAGATGATTACAGAACAACATAAGAAGATCTTAAAAATTCCACAGGGAAATCTCACAACAACGAATAAGAATATAGTGTTTGATGTTTCGCTTTATGCATATTAATAAGTGAATCAGGGAAAACAGGGATCTCTACAAACATTCCAGGATTTGCATTTTATGATCAATAAAGGAAAAGTTTAGAATGTAAAAGTAAAATGTTTTTTTGTGAAGAGCCAAAAATTGAATTGGAAGAAGCTTAGAAGGAGGATCTCCATGCTACTTAAAATTACTATGCAATGGTCAAAAAAAAATAGGAGAGAGATAAAAAGGAGAAAAAGATGAAAATAAAAAAGACACTTTTAGCAAAAACTTTGAGGAATGCCGAAATGAAACAGAGAGCCCATAGTGACATCGCTCTCCAGTGAACTCGAAGAGTGCTAGAAACCAACTTCCACATTGAAGACAATTTGAACTGGAGATATCGGAGATGTATATACCGAAAAAAAAAGAATTCCGAGAAAGTGTCAAATCTGGAAAGAATACTGGATAGAAGAGATGGATGACAGAAGATGGACTGGAGTTGCGAGAGGAAATTTGACGACATGTCTCAAGTTAGAGCTTAAAGCTCATTTTGAGTACCGTAGTGACATGTAAAGATGTTCTTGGAAGGATTATCTATATCGGAATGTAAGAGGAAGTTTCTTTGATAATTGTGGATACACTAGTCATTCACGCAAGCTCCGGTTACATAATCTGACGTGGGCACCAGTTACCAAAAGTGAAGACATGAAATAGAAATACGAGAAATAACAGAAAAGTATTGAAATGAAACATAAAAGACTAAGACTCGTTAAGTGTTATGGTCGTTTGTTCTATTCTAGAGATATGCATCTTAGAGGATGGCATATCTTGTTGAAATAGTCATTTTATATGCCCTATGGGAGATAGAATAAGCTAGCAAGTTATGTTGATTGCTTAAATTCGACATGACAAAAAGTTAGCAAGACATTAAGACAATGTGAGAATTGTCAACGGGAATAATAAGAGGATTCCAGGAAAAGTTTGCACGAAGATATCTTCGCGCTATGCATGTATGTAATCTCCCTTGGTTGCCTTGGAAATAACAAAGAGGGGGAGTGGTTAGCCTTTGATTGCCTAATACAGCGGACGTCACGTTTCATACCCCCAACAAGGCCAATACAAATCGAAGGATAGAGAAATCAAAAATGCGCAATTTGACTTTTTTGAGAAAACATCAAAACAAGACTAGCAAGAAGAACGAACATAAAAGTAGAGATGAAAGGTTATATCTCAAGATACGCCATGCATGTGCTCAACAAGGAAATAGCTCAAATGGATTAAGCATCGTGCCATAGATAGAGCGGAGATTCACTAACATGAGGATTTCGCATGAGATGATAACAAATAAAAAGTTTAGTTGCATCTTCACACGCGAAACATCTAATGACGAGGGGAAATCTTCGATCAACTCCTCCCCGCTAAAAACCGCTAGCAGCTCAACAAAATGTCTTACTTTTTGATGCATAAACCTCCTCGTTGATCCCATCCATTCGACGTTTCCAGACGACTCATTTAACGCTGTTTTCAGATAGTTTAAAAATTAGGCTGAAGCAGGAAACCTCGAATATCGTAACTTCAAAACAACGTTCATTGTTTTTGAGCGTTAATGTTCCGAGGAAAAAAGTCTAAAAAAACAGAATGACAAAAGCTGAAAGAATAGAAATATTGCAACCGCTTCACAGTACTCGACAAGTGTAAATGACTTTCACGTGCATCCGATAGCAACGTTAATTCTAGCACAGCTCAAGTACAGAGGGATTTGAAAATTTGTTATTTTCGAATTAAAATAATATGGACAGATGAAGTGTTTTTAAGAATAAGTGAAAACAATTAAATGACATCAGTAGTTGGGACTTTAGATTCACACGATTACTTGGGTTTAATTATTGAGGTCTTCACAATCTATTTTGAACGAAAGAAAACAATTAGTTTTGAAAAGTAGATTCAGCGATTAGATTCTATGATAGAATACAAAAGAAACCTGTGCCATTTATCACAAACGCATATAAAAAATACAGATTATTATACTAAATACCACAGATAGGAAATGATCAAGATGGAATAGGATGGGTAGCATATTATTAACTATACAATTATACAAAAAATACTGATAATATCAAGCTTTTGCTTGTTATATAAAAAAGTCCATATCCTATTATGACTAGGAGCACCGATGTGACTAACCAGTTCTAACAGTAAGCTGTTACCACGTAAAATATTGAAAGGCTTTTAATGCTTCAAAGAAGAAGGAATTATGTTTTTGTCAGTGCTACTGGAGAAACGCGTTCTTCGATATCTACAAAACGTAATTGCTTTTTCTGTTTATACTCAGATCAAACTTTTTAATGATGACATCAATGGAATACTTGGTGTCGAGGAATGTTGCCAGTACGCTTTCTGAAAGCACTGAAGCAACAATCTGAGCTAAATTAATTCTCCATTCTCCTTCCGCTAGTCTGAAGCATAAATGGGATTCTTTCTCAATTTTTGTCGGACATACTCATGGGGTGTGTTCCCAATCCGTCTCATCTGAGCTGCCTCAGTATCTTCTTCCGGTTCCTCATCGGAGAAATCACCATTTTTACTATCGTCACTTCTATTGGTTAGTGTTTGATCACGCATAGCATCAGCCAGCTCAGCTTCTATTTTCGCTTGGAACTCTCTGTATGATTCACCTACTTGCAGCAGCAGAGTTCCTGCAGATGAAACGATAGTGGATGCTATAATTAATTGAACTAACCGACTATTGCCAAGGCATGGAATAGTTGTTGATCCGTCTCACCCCCACTTAGCAAATCATAAATGGTTTTCCACAGTTGAATGAACTGTACTTGACTCATATCAGGCAAGGACTTCAACTCTAACTTTGTTGAAGCTGGTTCAGAAGCATTCATTTTTGCTTTCAGATCCCTCATCTTCACGATTGATTCTTCTACAAGAGAAAAGCTATCTGAATTATTAACAATAATGCGGAAATCGCGTGAGCACATTCAAAGTACCTTCACTTGCTTCATCAGCAACTGTGATTTTCTCGTTGCTATTATGTGAGGGGGAACTCCCTACTGATTTGGCAGCAATCATATCAATTAGAGAAGCAGCATCAGAAGACTGATCATCATTCGGACATATGCTAGTTATTGTGTTACTTCTCCCCTTAAATTTAATATTATATATCATGAAAAGCCTGAACTCACCTTTTTCTCGAGGCTTGAAGAAGAAGAAGGGTCTGTACTCGAACGGCATCGATTATTAAGAGGGGATGCAAGGATCGTTGCGGCTTCTAATGCTTCTTCCGGCTCATCTAAGAAGCTTGTGAACTACAATTTTAAGCTGAAGATCTAACCTGAAGATCGATCTGATTGAGGGGCGATTTCGTCCAAATCGGTATTATCGAAAGCTGGAGGGAGATGGCATTTGTACAGAAGATACAATTTTTCTACAGATTCACCACGCAGAAGTGTAGATAACGGAAGGACAACATCACGGAAAGTTAACAGGCCACTTTCACTGACGTCTAACAGCTTGAAAGGGAATTGATGGATTGATATGCGGGAAGTTTCCAAGATAGAAAGATATGATACTAACCCGGAAAAGTCTGACGATGAAGATGTTGGATACGTTCCATGGCAGTAGCCTGGGAAAAACTTCAGCAAAGAGATAGTAATCAACCCTAAAATCACATTCATACTGACGTGATAGATTGTCCACAACCTGTACTGCGACTGTGCACATGGGTCTGGTCGTGGTCTTTCCGTCAATGAGCGGGAGTTAGTATATGAGTTAACGCCTAGTCGTTGTCGCCATGATAACAGATGTTCTTCCTAAAATAAATATATTTGATGAGTTCATCGACTGACACTAATAAATCAGCGTAAGCGAAATGATCGTTAGAATCTGAGCGAATAATGGGGTCATATTTAGGTTCAGGCAAATGAACTTCGACGGATTTCCCACAATCAGTTCGAAAATTTTGTCTCTTTGAGTGTCTCTTGTACATTTCAATAATTTTTTAACTTTCAGACAATGTTATATTCGAAACATGCAATTTTGATAATACTACTCTATTTGACTGGTACAGTGACCCCTTGCATGCCAGCCAACACTTCCGAGCTCAGAATTCCATTCGGACGCTCTGTTCAGGAAGAGAAAGAGCATATACGTCGGGCTCCAGAGAAAAAAACGGAGCCCAGTACAATTAAGATTACTATTAAAGATCAGGAGCAAATTCGTGCGAAAACGTTTACACAGGTACAGAAAAATCATACAGAAGAGAACAGTTCAGAATTTCAATTGGAAAAAGAGGAACTAGTCATAACTCGTAATACTGTGGTCAAGAACAGCGGCGGTGCTCCAGTTAATAACTTGGCTCAACATCGCGCAGCATTTCAAAGAGCCAAAGCCTTCAGATCGAAAGAGACCTCATCTACATCTACAACAACTACTACGACAAGTAAACCCGCAAGAACAACAACTGAGCCAACCACTTCGACAACGAGTGAGATCACTACAACCACCTACGAAAACTCATCCGACGAAGAGCTTGCCACAAGACCCGCTAGAGCTCAAGCTTCTAAGACAGTGATAGCTGAGAAAGTACAGAAGAAAAATCAGAAAAACTTGGATAAGTTTTTTAATATAGAGTCTGGTAATGACAGATATTAGGAGCAAACATATTCTTTTTTTAAGACATGTGCAATAACTGTCCCGAATTGTTTTTCCCTACAGATGGGGGATTACAGAAAGTATGTAAGAATTGGCAAGCACTAGAGAAGAATTTCAACTTGGCGATGGATCCCAAAAAACCAAAGGTTGAGAACTTGGAGACCATAACCACCTGTAGCCGAAAAGTTACTTGTTCTACGCCTCATGCTATATTGAAGTGAGAAAATGGGTTGAAAAGCATTTCTATCGTTGATTTAGATGGCCGAATTTCTCAATTTGTGATATTTTAAGTGAAGCAGCATCGGATTTGTCATTCACGTTTAAATGCAACGGATCTCATTGGTCTATGAACGATTTCCCAATTGAGGCAGTGTCTTGTGTCATAAAGACCGATTAGTGGCAAAAGATAATGAATTGATGAATAGGAACTAATCATAGTAGTAATAATAATTAATAATAACTAACCTTAATAATGCAATAAAGCATCTCCAACTCTTCCTTTGTAAACTTGCACTCTTTCCCAACGCTACGTATGATACTCTTCATTTGACAATCTTCCATCGACTGTAATTCTACTGTTCCCTTTAACAGAGGAAATGACTAACTTGAACGACTTTCAGTCTATATTTCAATCGTAAATCTTCAATTTGCTCATTAGTGAAAGAGCAACCATAGCTGAAGTAAGAGTCGCCCAACAGTTTCCCAATAGGGATCTAAATCGTTGAATTGCATAATCAACAAGTGATATAGACACCAACTTTTCCATCTATCTCTACGTCTCCTTCATAAATACCAGCAGTGTAGTTCTGGAGAATGGTCAACGTCTCACCATCATCTTTTGCTTTGCAAATGCTATCTTGATTCTCTTTCATCATTTCCAAAGCAACTTGAAACATCAGCTGTAGGAAAAATCCATAAAAGGTAATAAAAAGCAGAAATCAAACCTTAGAACCCTCAAAGAAAAAGAGGTCTAAAATGCGAACAGCTGCATCGAATTTGATGGCTGATAGGAAAATTGTGAGGAACCATGATAAGGAAACCATGTCATCCAGGGATAGCTTGGTCAAGTGAGCTCCAACAGTAGGTAAGAACTTTTCCATTAATTCCGAGAAGACCCCTAGCATGTAAAGTGAGCTACAGATAACTCGGAAACTATAAAACCTTGGTCAACTCTGGCGCCTACTACTTTCGAGTTATAATAATCAGGAAGAAGTCGTTCACAAACAGCAACCAACAGCCAAAATCCTTCTTCTTCCTTTGTGAATAACAAAAGCACTGCTGCCACAATATTCATGGCTTGACAGTAACCTGAGAACAAAAAGATGAAGAAAATATTAATTCATTCAAACCTATGCTAGGATTTCGGAAAGCATAAGCTGTGAGTACACGTCGAAGAGCATCAATGCCTGGACCCGATTGGAAAGCTGGATGCTCAGGTAAACTTCTATGCAAGTCTCTCTCGATTTCATCCAGAGCAACTGAGTAGGCACCCTCATTTTTCCTGAGCAATTCGTCGTAATAGCCTGGATTTAAATCCATTTCAGCCTTCGCTCCAGAGCATATCATCCATAACTTAAACAACTTATAGTTCACAGTTGCTGGGTGAAGTATACCTCTCCCCTGGTACTGTTCGGAACACCTTCCAACAGCAGCCTATGCAAATCCACTGTCCTATACATAGTGACATCTCTACCGTATTCGGCAAACAAGCTGTCCCATCTGTAGAAGCTGATTTAGGAAGACATAGTTTAGAACTCAAAACTTTGCTTTGCATTTCTCGCTGACATCCACACCAAAGGGATAAGTTTCGACCAATGGACACAGAAGTTTCTCAACAGGTCGAATTGGTTCCTGAAGAAAGAATGCTCAATGAAAGTGTTTTATCAATAGAACCGACTTTAACCTCGTGCCTCATCAGGGACTGATTGATCCGGAACTTCTCAGTGAATGTTGTTATTTTGGAAAGAACCCTATCTCTATCAGGAACAGAAGCGAAAACTATCGCAGCCTGAAACCATAAAACTTTATGAGATGAATACATAGGAACCTTTTCCTTAAACTGATAGTAAGGAAAGTTCTACGGACCCCGTTATGCAAACATATGATGATGGCTCTTCCATTGGAGTTGCCAGCGCCTAGCAAGGTATTGCATTCTTCAGCTGATGATATTGAACTAATAGGAATCACGATGGATACAAGTTTTTCAATCTTGAACAGAAAACAGTTTGATGAGAAAAATATTTTGTTTACCTTGCTTGAGAAACACAAGAAATTGGAGGAAAGAAATAGTTGTCCCTGAACATACTTTCTGTCGTAGGGAGTGAACAGGCGACAGCTAGTATCCCCATCTAACCGTTCTGATATCGGAAGCGAAAATCGACATCTTAAACAAAAAAATTTAAACATCGAAATCATAACAGAAAATTCTATAGATTTTCTCTCGCACAGTCAATAAAACCATTGGAAATGAGCTTAGCAAAGGCATATCAGACTTTTATGACCGAGGAAGATGAAATGCGCTCCGACATACATATACGGAGTGTGACTCATATAACCTTAAAAACGACAAGTTTCTTGATTCTATTCAATTACTTTCCACATCTTTTACTAGTAAAAACCTTGATTGTCTACTTGTTTGAACAGTAAAGTTTCCCACAATAGTTTTTTTTCGTAATAACGTAACCAGCTCTTTCCAATTAGATTATAGATATCTTTCATCTCTCATACCTTATATACAAATCATACTTGTCCATTCCATTTACGAGAAATATGTGACAACACTACCAGGCCTTCATCTTTCGTACTTTCTCGAGGTCATATAGTCTTGCCAACTTCTATACCGATAACATCATCCTCCTTTTTTTCTTAACTCTCTATCTCAGCCGCATTAACGAACCATAATCTGTCTTGTACTGGTTAATTTTCTTTAGAAAATTAGTCTTTCATAAACTCACTATGACATCATATTGTTTTATTTTCCCATTCAATAACCATGCTTTTCAGGGATAGAATGGTTTCCGATCGCTTGCCGGGTCAAGTGATTATCTACACTGTATTAGGGAATGCTCAATGTATGAAAGCAAAAAATATTCTGAACAGAGCAAACATTCCTTACACCGATGTTTCTCTCGATTCCTTCCCTCAGGTTGGTATGAATGAATCAATAGCTCAATAAATTATGAAAAATAGTGTCGCGAGGAAGTGATACGGAGAGCCAATGGGGATTTGACTGTGCCGCAGATATTTTTTAATCATATCCATATTGGAGGAACAGATCAACTTCAATACTTGGTATCATACTGATCACTAAGTTAACTCAAAACAATTCAGGTCAATGATGAGAATGCTTGGGACAATATGATGGCAAAACTTTGTGAAGAATGTTCAGAAAACGAACCGCCAATACCTTTACCAACGACAGCCGTAGATTACAATGACAATAAAGACGACTTGGGTAGTTTTGTAAAAAAAAAAAAAGAAGCCAAAGAACACTTTTTTTTGAGATTGTGTTCTGCACTGGATGCCCGACGAATATGATAAACTAATTAGTGATATGAGAAAATCAAACTTAATAAGAGATAATAAGGTACAAATGACTGAAGTCACATGTCTATTATGACGAATTCAGGTTGGATTACTCAAAACTTATAGAAATTCATTTAAAGGAGAAGAGCTAATTGAATGGATGGTGCGAGAAAAAGGATTACGTAAGTCAAAAATTTTTTTAAACATTCAAAAAGCAAATAAGAGTTGACAGTTTCTGCGCTAATGGAACTATCAGTTGGGCTCAAAAACTTTGTTAGGAACACTTAAAAGTTTTCTCAAAAGGTTTTGTCATGGTTTTCCCTACTAAGCTCCTCATTCCAATCCCTCATTTTTTTTATTGCGTAAATATGATGTTGAGAACATGAAAACAAAAAAAAATACCGGTTATCGACGATTTTCGATGCCGTCGACAGATAGAGAAAGAAGCAAAGTGAAGAGTGTGACAGATTCTTTTTCTCGAACTCAGTCTCAACAAAGGTCTTTATTTCCTTTTGAAATGGATAACTCTGATGGATTCCCCCCTCTCTCGTGGAAAGATGACAGAAATTGTGAGCTGGACACTTACTCTCGATTCGCTTACTCCTATAACGATGATTTCCCATTAGGTATCCATTGTGAGGATAGAAATCAATTTAATGTTTGTATGTCTGAAACGATTGTTGAAGGATAAGTTTCAGAACGCAGAGAAGCTCTGGAAATCGGACAGGACCTTATTGATCGCAACTTCGGACAACAAGCATCAAATGAAATGGGTACTTCATTCAGTCCTGACAGGTAATATAAGTAATTCATCAATCTCTCTACAAGAAATCATAACAGATTTTATCAACTTGTGGAGGATGATCAAAATCGCCCACTCAATTATGGGATACCCTCCAAAGAGGATATAATGACTGTCGCCGAGTTCAACAACAGTTTTGTGAAAATCATAAACCCCGTTTTGAATGATGTCGTTTCGGAAGATGGAATAGTGAGTGCAGCGAGATCAACGATTTATTAGTTTATTTTTTAGACAATAAACTATCAGAAACTGATCGACAATGATAATTATACACGTTATCTTCATTTCGCCAAAGATTTGAGGAACGTGGATCCTTCACTTAGCAGCCCTGACGAAAGGATCGCTTTCTTTGTAAATGTTTATAATGTGATGCTGATTCATATGACTCATAAGTACGGACTTCCTCAGAGTGTATGGCAAAGAAGAAAGGTTTGTGAGCAAGCACGTAACAACATGCTAGTTCCTTTCTTCCAGTATATAAATAGCACATATTATCAAATTCACGAACACAAGTATAGTCTGCAATCTATACTGAATGGAATTCTGAGAAGTAACCGAAAGGGACTGGGAATGCTATGGAAATCTTTTGGAAAACAAGACGAAAGACTACCAGTATCACAAATATGCAATATGCCTTCAACTTTAATTCTTTTCAGTTGATTTTACCTGAGTGCGAACCACTTGTTCACTTTTGTCTTACATCAGGCACCAGATCAACGCCACCTATTCGAACATATACATCCAGGGTTTCATCTCAAACTTGGGAACTTGGTTCTAACTTTGTATTCTAGGGCGTGAGGAAAGAAATGGAAGATAACGCAAGAATATATTTACTCAATGATAATGCTTTAAAAATAGATGCCAAGAAAAATATGATTTATTTAACTAAAATTTTCAAATGGTATGCTGATGACTTTGGATCAACTCATGAGAAGGTTCGAATTGCATGTTAGTTACTCTGACACACGTATGTTTAGATCATATCTTGGATTCTCCAGCTTTTTGAAGGAGTTGAGTGCCCCAAAATTAAAGCTCTTCAAACTATGTTCTACACCGGGGATTATACTGTCGATTATTTGTCTTACGATTGGACTTTCAACGGAAAAGAAAAGGTGGGAAGCGGAAATTAAAACTTGATTGGCAAATAATTTCAGAAAGAGAACCGTCAAGATTGCAGACAAGCCAAAGATTGTCCAAACATGGCCAAAGAGATTTCATGTGACTTTTCGTGTTGAATGTAATTACCTCCCCTCATTATCACAAGCATAATCGCGTTATGTAGTCATATCAAAATAAATAACTAACTAACCTGTAGCTATCACTTCTATGGCGGGCATCCAAGTCACGTTTGAGGAAAGAACTTGAATTTTTCCTAGCTCTTTTTTTTGAACTTTCCATCCAAGCTTTTCGGACTAGATTGGGATCTTCACGAAAGCCTTCCTCTTCTATTAGCCTGTTAAAAGATCTCTTATGAGCCGAAAAAGTAACGCTGACTCACTGCTTCATAGCTATATTGGCCAATTGGGAAGCCAACGTGTAAGTCTCTTGGAAATCACTAAACATAGAGAAATCGAATGACTTGTCCCTCGTCACCACTGTTAACCCTTGCGAGAAAATAAAAGAAGAAACTTTGTCCAACTTCTGGAATACCCCTCGTACTCCATTATTATGGGCTTGAAACTGTACCACTATATCAGCCCATTTGAGCTTTATTTTAGTTTGGCTTCCCATAATGAAGGAATGGAAGCACAAAAAATTGACAGATAAATACATTTGACCCTGATAGGGAACCTTTCCATTCCAATAACAACATTTATAATCTGAAAATATGTTTTTCAGTAGCAGTATCTACGTAGGCACTTACAATTCACGAGACGCTCATCGGTGGGTAGGGCAAAAAGTTGATGAAACTTGATATGCACAGATCGATTCGAAACAGAGTCAAGAACATCTTAACCATGGATTGATTACTCATAAGATCAATTTTCAAGCTACCTTGAGCAGCCTCTTCTGTGATAGGCATATCCAGATTGACTAAACTTTCGACTTTGGTTAAAATATACCTCCTAGCGTCTTTTTCCAGAGTGAAGGATTCTGAATATTCATATTGAGGATGTGATTGAAATGAAAAATAAACTTAATGTTGGACAAACGTTCAGTTTCAACCATTCCCAATGCTCCATTATCTCGGAAAGCTCAGCAGCAACAGCCAAAACTAGAACAGAAAGCTTGCTAATGGAAAATGAAACTTTATTTTAACTAACCTATGGATATCTGGAGATCGTCGTCATTATTGAAATCATAGATGATTCTATAAGGTGGAGGTCTTGTATCAAATACAGTATCAATCGTTGCCACTAATAATGAAGATATGCCTCTGGTTTCTTTACCTTTTCTCTTTTGAATCTTGAAACAATCTTCAGTATGCGTACAGACCCTGTAACAGTAACTTTAGAAAAGCTAGATGACTCAATGACAAACCAGAACGATTGCCCAACAAGGATTTGCTCAGGTTTAATCCACACCATTCTCTGCCTTTCTCAAGAAATTCAAAGAATATTGCACTAAATATCCAATGACAAAATCATGAAAACTTTTTACGTAAAAAACTGACTAAAGAATCTATAATGAATTGTATAAGACTAACAAGGTCTACACGTGACTCATGAAAATAAACAATAAAACGCCAGCAATTGATCTGAATCAACTTTAAAAGAAGATTTAACAGATCATACTAACTATATACATATTCTGAGACAACTTTGAACGAAAAAAAACACATATAATTAAGTATTTATTAAAATTTATATGAAGAAAGAACTGTCTATGACTGATTCGCAATAGAGCGCGGCTCAAACAGTTTTGCTACAAAAACGAGCATACTTTTCTCTAAGAAACAAGGGGGAATCAAATAAAACATGCTTTATTCCAGAGAACGATTAGTATTACAAATACGTAAATGATCAAGAGTTAATAGGAAATAGTAAAGTGTCTAGTAATATGAGAAAGAAAATTTATTAACTATTGCCATTGTTTGCCTATAACGGAGTTGTTCAAATTAAATAATGCTTCTCTAAAATAACCTGTGTATGATCAGTAGTTCGTCCATTGACGATCACAGAAGTAAGGTTTAGCACAATATTTTTCAGAGCACTCAGTTCTCTCTGTAATAGAGCGATGTCATCTTTCGACGGCTGCCTCTATAATATTCGTTCAGATCTAAACTTCACAATTATTACCTCATCTTGTTCTTTATAGTTCCTGCGTAAAGAACTTTCAAAATCACTAGCCACTTTCATCATTCCAATTTGGAAGTTCCGTAGAGGCTCAGAGACAAGGTGGAACTCGCTATAAGTTTACTGAAGGTTTTAATGAAGCTTGATATTACTTGCCTCATATTTTCCATTGATGTACCACTTGTTTGACTCTGTTATAGAAAAGTTGTTACTGTTTTCCATTTCAAAACTTACCGAACTATCACAAGTTATCTTTGAACCTGGTTCGTTTATCAAGTTGAATTGACGCTGAAAAGATTAACTTGGTTCTGCTATTTTGATTCTTCCTACTGTGTGTGAAACGGTTTCCATAGGTTTGTCTTGAACCGAGGATAGCTTTCTGCAAGAAATATTATTATGATAATCCTTAAGGATGCTCACCTATGATCACGTCCGTCCTCATTGCACCAAGCTGAAAAATATTGTGAAATTTGTAATAAGATAGATATACCTTCTGTCAGTAAAGGCTGAGGAAATGTGAAAACTTCTGTTTTGATGCTTATGTCATCAGCTATGGTAGTAATGCTATCGTCATCAGGAGTATACTCCTTTGCGTGGATTATGCTGGGTTCATAACTTGACATATTACTGCTACCACTAATGTTTATATAGCTGGGTGTTGGGTAGTCATTTCTATGAAAAGATGGCGGCGGAGTATTAGGGTCGAGGGGAAAAGTTCGTCTTGGTGGATAACTGTCACGGCCTGGAATCGTTCAGATCATGAGCAAAATGAAAAAGACTTTACTGGTGAGACCGTTATTATTCTGGGAAGAACTCTCAGATATCATGCTGACCTCCTGGAACCAAGCATTAAACTAAAAAGAATACAACACTCACTTTCTCATCCCGATAAACAATTACTTGTAATCCTTTAGTCATATCATTAGTCAAGTACGAGGCATGCTCCATGCTTCCATAATTGTTATGCTGCTCTGGATAAGGTTCTCGATAGCTTTGAGTATCTGTGAGAAACATTGTGAAATAGGTAAACAAATCAAAAATACAGTTATTCAGTTTCATTTCTTTCCGTTGTTTTTGAAATTGCTTGTAGAACTTGAAATATATACTGAGAATAGAAATATGAAAAGACAACCTTCTTTCTAATATTAACAGTTGGTCCATGAGGTGATTGTCGATTATAATTTCCTGTGACAAAAAAATAGAAGAATCACTACAAGAAAAACAAACCATTTCTGTAATATCGTGAACGTGGTGACATCGTGATGATCACTTACACCTGTGAATTCAAATTTGAAAGCTTTAGGTATACGTAGACTAATTCGCTTTCAAGCAGCTTTAATCGTTTGTTTGAAAATTAAGCACCCAAGGTTCTTTAATTAACAAAGCTTCATATTCCTAAACTTGTTATAGAGTATCTATTGTAAAAGTCCGAATTGTTTAGCAATATTACAATCATTTCGCAATATGATTTTGATAGCTTTATTGAAAATCTGCTTGTATAATACCCTATTACGAAAATAGATCATTCGAAGCAATTTGTGTTTCCAGAAACCTGTATTACTTAGAGATAAATTAAAATTAAAGTGGTACTGAGATATGTATTATAATTCTTGTTTTCCTGAAGAATCTGGCACCAAAAACTTGGGTATTTCAGTTCCATAGTAGATCTTGTTGTTTTTGCCAACCGCATGGATACTTTGCAATTGCAAGTATTCGCTGGAAAGAAAGAAAAGCATTATGATTTCTTGAAAGAGTTGCACCTCGTTAGTAACATCTTATTAGCTTCAGCTTCCCTTTCAATGGTATAGTAATGGGCGTCGGCTTTTGCTTTCTCTCGAGCTGTAACAAACATATGTATCAAGAATATAATGCAAAAGTTACCCAAATGTGATTCATCTTCTAGCTGACTGATACGTTTTTGAGTTTCCTTCTCAGCTATAGTTTGTTTGTGCAAAATTTCAGCTACTTGGGCTTTTTTTTCCGCTTCTGGATTGAGGAAGATGTAGATGTTTAATGAATGGAATGCATACCTATAATCGCTTTCTTTCTCTCAGTCTCAGCTTCTTTCTCCACTACTTTTTGATGTTCGCTTGCCACCAAAAGTTTAGTCTGTAAATAGTCAAGATAGCATATCAAGAAAAGCAAAAGCACAACCGGTCATGCGAATTTTTGAAACAAAATATAAAACTGTTTACGCCAGTTATCAACGTGTGTAATTGCAACAGCTAATCGAAAAGAGTCATACTTTTTCAGCTTCCATTTGCTCGTAGTTATGACGAACAGTTTCTGGGATTTTCGGTTTGGTAACACGCACAGCTTGTACAAACAACCCGGGGGCCATAACTGTTAGTTCTTCTTGCAACGCTTTCTTCAGATTCTCATCAATTTGATCTGAATTATATTGAATACAGTACAGAAGTTTGATGAACTTACCGAAATAATCAATATACACTTCTTGAAGAGTATGACTACTGCAGAATTGGTTTACTTCATGATGGACTTTGTTGAAAATCAGAGGTTTATCATAATCAACTGTATAGTTCTTGACAGTATCATACACTGAAACAAAATATTGGATTTACGATATCAAGCTCTCAAGCTACCACTGCTAGCAGATAAGACATTGACTACTTCAATTCTGTCGAAGTATATCATAACTCCACCACTCGTTCCACAAGGTACATTACGTGCTTCATCAGTTTGTAAAGTGACCTGAAGGATTGTGAAAAACGAGCCGATTTAAATTTTAAGTACTTGCACACTCTTAACAGTGGTAATCAGAGGGAACATCATATGATACCCAGGATTACTGACTTTACTTAGTAAAGCGCCACCCTAAACAACCATCATCAAATTGAACATTAAGCTTGAAATGAAATACCCTGAAATAAACTCCAACATGGCCCTCCTCTATATGATGTAGAGATGTCATGGAAAGAAAAGAAAATATTGCAATCAATATCCCAATAACACTTGTTGGGATCATTCTAAAAGCGTTTATTCATCTCAATACTGAGAAAAGAAAATATTAAATGCAAAAACACAATATTCAAAGAATGATGACTAACTGTTAACTTTTATCGCATAGAAAGACATAAAAATTTTTTAAAAATTTCGAAATGCAAGCAGTGCTGTTGTTAATCAATTTTCTTAATATATGCCATTTTGTGGGGAATGTTCATATATGCGACAACGAGTAATGCACAGAGTTGCATCAGGAAGAAAGGAGCAAAGCAATTGTAGCCGTATAACGAAACTAAGTGAGCAAGCGGAGCTCCTGCGAATACAGATCCGACTGAAGTATTGTCTATTATAAACATATCAAGTTAGAAACTCACAGTTTGCGATGAAGGACACGAAGGCACTGAAGCTACCTGCGTTACTTTTGAGTCCTGCCTGAGAAGATATCATGCACCAAACATTCAAAGCTGAGAACAGGAAGAAACCAAGGGAAAAGCCGATAGGAATTATATAATTCTGTCAATTTCAGTGAATATAATATGTGATTTGATTGAAGCTTACCGGTAAACTTGTGGAAATAGCAATGGTAGCAATCATCAAGCATCCGAAAAGGAAGGCAAGTATCCTACGCGCAGTCAATAACTCAACATACTTGCAGAGAATATCAAGCATTAAGCCGGATACAAAGGTTCCTATTATTCTAAACACGTTCGATTGAAAAATTGCGGATCAAAAAGTAGAGTTTACCCTCCAGTTTCATACAAAAACATGAATCTGCCAGGATCTCCCTCAACGTCTTTTATAAAGAGAGGCATCCAACTCTCCGTTGCTGTCCTGATCTACAAAGAGAGTATTAATGCCATAATTGAAACACGAATATACCTCCAAGACGATCAAATAAGGTATAGCAATTCCCCATAAAACTTTAGATGAGAAAAGGGAGAAAACTCCGCCAGGTGGCTTCTCCTTTTTCTTATCCACTTCACCGGAATCCTTTTCCTCTATGCATAGATACACGAAGATGGTGAACAGGAAGCATGCAACTCCTGTAGGCAATTAGAAAACATAGACATAGACATTGCTAAAAACTTACCTAGATAAAACGTATAAGTTCTCCAATAAAAGAAACTTATGGTAGGCAATAGCAAGCCAGCCATGTTACTCCCACAACCAAGTAAGGAGAAGAAGGTGGCAAAAGAACCATCCTTGAACCACTGAATAAAACTAGGTACAAAGAAAAAACGAATGTGTTACTACATTTGAAACTAGTTTTGTAGCAGGTACCCAAGCTGCTCCCTGAAGACCTCCTAATAAGGCAGAAGAGCAAAGCAAATGAGTGAGGCTAGTGGCATAGCCTAAACTCTTTTTTTGAGTCCAGCTATTTCAGAAATAAGCTTACTGAGACTGAAAACAGCCAAGGATGTTCCGCACAAACCAAAACAAAGAAGAAACGCTGGAGAAACCTTATCTGAGGCCACTCCGAATATTAGTTTGCTCGCAGTCATACATAATGCTTGTGTAGATACGAGCAAGCCTAAACGATAAAAGTATGAGTATCATTTAATCAAACACAGGCACATTTCAGACATTACGTATTAACAAGCATATTTATTAATGAAATAATTTAACAATTCAAAAACAGAAAAAAAAAGAATTTTACAACCATTAAAGCACTGAGACTCGCTCAACAATACCGAAAATGCCATTGAGTTCTATCATTCAAACTAATCAACCTAGTCCGCCCTAATAAGTTAATTTCTAGCTCTTAAAATATCACAAAACATTTCGTAGAAAAGAAAAGCACAACCCGAACTAGCAGCTGCTTTAAGCTGACTTGGCAAAAGGCCTTTGAATAAGCCATAGATGGACTCTGTTTTCAAAATGAATAACATTGACCGAATCATTCTCCTATCATGTTGCGTCTGCTTTCCGAATCCGGATCGTTTGAAACCATTTACTTGTAATCTATGCCGAACCATATCCAGTGGATAGAGCACCTAAACATGCAACTCTCTCTACACTGCAGAAACAAAGATTCAGCCTTCATACCGTTTTCGCGACAGTTCCAGAAGCGGCACCAGCTACTAAAGCCCCGTAATTCTCATGATCTTTGATAAGTTTGTTCCACAGCTTGTAGAAAGCATTATACATAGTGAATTGGAGACCAGTAAAAGGCGCGACTTGGATTAGTCCGGGTACCCAACCTCGAAAATATCCCTTAAAGCCTTCGGTTCGCCAAATGTGCGGCAGCGCATCCAATGTTCCTAAACATCAAAGATGCTTTGTTTTCAAGAATTTTTTCGTCAACCTTTATAGACCACTGATTGATGCCCTTGGGCTACGAGCCTTGTTCTAATTACATCTAACGGCATGGCAGCCGTCATTGCAAGGCAACCAGCTATACTTCCACAAGCGAAGTCTATGGGAGATTGAAACCTATTCATCACTTCCGAACTAGCATGATTTCCAACCCAAAAAAAGAGAGTACATGGCAAAAATTTGGTGTTATCAAATATACTTGACGGGTAAGCCGTTCGAATGAAGCGAATTGTACTAGTCCATACACAGCTGATAAACCCTGCGCAGGTATATGACCCTTCCAAAAAGCAGCAACACTTTCTTCCTTTAAAATTAAGCGAACCGATTGAGTAACGCTCTTAAATCGAGAATGAACATCCGAAAGAACGAATAGAATACCTTATACTTTCCGGAGTTAGCCCCCCCGATCGGTTCTTCTTGCAATTGAAATCTAATTTTTAAAACATCTAAGGGCTGTATTATCATACGAGTAGCTATGCCACTAACTAAACCCGCCTCACTAAAGCAGAAGTATTCATTCCATTTTGGATTGTATAAATACCTGTGCTCTACGGATGACAGCTCTCTACCGTTAATTGGTTCTGACTCATACCCTACCATTACATATAAAAACTATTAATGACCTTCTGGAATAAGAAAAGGGTCACATTGTGAAAGTTAGTCGTGAGCAAGCTAAACAAGAGAACCAAGCATAACAACAGAAGTAATTTTGTTAGAAACAAACAAACAAACAAACAAACAAACAATCGAACAACCACAGTAAGAGACAAGAAAGCGATCAGAGATGAAAACTAATAGTTGTCTTAGAACCAACCTACGTTATCCTTCGTTAATAAAATTTCATCTCTGATCTGACTTAGAGATGTAATAGGAAGCCGTCGGCAGTACACATACAGAATATAAGTAGTCAGTACCAGTATAAATTTAAAGAGGGCCATACTGCAACTTCAATATAGAATAGAAAGCACGTAGTATTTCAGTAGAATGTAAGATTAGAAACCACAAAAATATTAAACTTCACACAAATCATGCGCTAAAATCACTGAGCATGCATTTCAGTCGGGTAAACAGAAATCTATAACGAACAGAGTCCAAGGTCATCAAAGACAAAACTTCAAAATATAACAAAAACAAACCACACTACTTTTTAAAGCTTGACCGTCTGGTTGCATTGTATGAAATAAACCAAACGTAGTTGGTTTTTACTGTTGTAAAACCAGTGCGTAATGAGAATCTGAGAAGCATGATGATGAGCGTTTTTTATGACGTGTTTCTCATAAACATCGTTGTATCCCTTTTTCTTCACATTTGAAACACTTCGTCAGTTTCTTCAGCCATGATGTCATTTTCAAAATGTTTTGTTTCTTTAACCAAGAAAGAATTTCTTAAGGGTTGAAAATAATATGAGCTCAAACTATTGTATCCGTGAAATCGAACTTACTAACCAGTATAGCATACGTATAAGCCAGGTATTGAAAATATTTGGAACATCGTTAGAAACATATCATTTTTGAACCTTTCCCTGATTATAATGATTGAAGGAAATTGAAAGTGATGTTGGAGGTGTTGTTTGGGATAGTTCACTTGTAGCTGTATATTACTTTTTGAAATTAGGAAAAGGTTATTGGCAAGGAAAGAATGTACGTTGAAACTTGAACTTGAAAGTATTGTTGGTCCAGGTTTTAGAGCTTGGTGCTGGTACCGGTGCTTGTGGAATCTCTTTGGCTTTTTTGGATGCCAAGGTTATAATGACGGACCTACCAGAACGTATGCCCTTACTAGTAGAGAATACTAAGAACAACGTGACATTGACCAGAGAAAATATTAAAACCTTTCCATTGGACTGGACGAGTTACGATAAGAGTTCTGTGAAGAACATAGATGTCGTCGTTTTTATTGATTGCATTTATTACATAAATGGAGTGAAACCACTTATTGACTTACTTAGAGAAATTGATGCTTCTGAATCTTACTGTATTTATGAGAAACGTGATATTGGAGAACCCGCTATCGCTCAAAAAATGTTTCTTGAACTTGTCTCTAATCACTTCGATATATCATATGTGAAGGGTGAAGAGCTTGACTCTTGTTATTCATCAGAAGATATCCCAGTTCTGAGATTATGTCGTAAAAGTGGTATTTGAATAAATTTATCTTCTATAAATCATCGTTGTTTCTTCTCTCCTCACTCTTCCTGCTATACCAGATTCTTTGTCTTTAGGATGGTTACTGTTGTTGATCCATCAACATACTCGAACTACACTGAAGTTAGAGCCGATCATTACAACTTAGATTGGAATGTAGACTTCGAAAGCAAAGCCGTTGTAGGAAGCGTCAAAATTGATTTCACTGTTCTTAAAGCAACGAACAGAATAGTAAGTTGCCTTTTGATTCTGTGTTTCAAGCTCTTTTAGGTTTTGGACGGAAGAGATTTGGCTATTGAGTCAGTTTTCCACGATAACGAGAAACTCAACTTCGTATCTGAGAAGAATGGCTTGGGAGACAGAATCACGATCGAGAAAGCTGGGTTAGAACCTGAGCAAAAATTGTAGTATCCGTGTTTGCATACAGTGATGAGTTTTGTGTATTTTAGAACATTGTTGGTGAACTACAAAACTGGAGAGAACGCTTCAGCGCTCCAGTTCATGAAGCCTGAACAAACTACTGATAGAAAGGTATGTATCATGCATGATAAATTTGAATTAATTGTAAGTATGCAGGGTCCATTCCTCTTCTCTCAATGCGAAGCCATCCATGCTCGATCTATCTTACCTTGCATGGATACTCCATCAGTGAAATCTTCGTATGAGGCTAAGGTTTTTCCTTGAAGATGAAAAAAATCTATTTATATGTTTTTTTAAGGTTAATGTTCCTCAGGGACTTACGTGCTTGATGAGTGCCATTCTCGAGAAAACAGATGATAGCAACGGATTGAATCAGTTTTGGTTTAATCAAAAAGTGCCGATTCCATCTTATCTTATCGCAATAGTCGTAGGATTGCTCGAAAAAAGAGATATTAGTGATAGGTTTCAGGTTATAGAAGACTTATAATTATATTGTGTTCTATTTATAGATGCGCTGTTTGGGCTGAGCCTTCAGTAGCGGATTCAGCTCGATGGGAGTTTGAGAGCACTGAGAAATTTTTACAAACTGCTGAAGAGTTAGCGGGGAAATATGTTTGGGGAAGGTCATTGTTGTTGTTCTTGCTTCATGCAACATCCCTAGTTTCAGATATGACATGGTTGTACTCCCAGCAACATTTCCATTTGGAGGAATGGAAAATCCCTGTTTGACTTTTGTCACTCCAACGCTTCTTGTATGGTTTCTTTTCTCTGAAGTGTACTGTAGTTTTCTATAGGCTGGAGATCGTTCTCTTGTGAATGTTGTTGCTCACGAAATCTCACACAGTTGGACAGGTAACTTGGTTACTAACGCTAGCTGGGAACATTTCTGGTATGTTACTGAAAAAGCAAACTTTTGATGTGATTACAATCATTAGCAACTGAAACTATGAGAGCATGATTGATCTTTAAAAGATAGTGCTTTATCTCGATAAGTTCAAGTATTGTGAAATTTGTAGGTTGAATGAAGGGTTCACAGTTTTCTTGGAGAGAAAAATTCACGGAAGAGTAAATGGAGAATTGGACCGACAGTTTGAGAGTGAACGTGGCTACGATGAAGCCTTAGTTAATGCTGTTGAAACATTTGGAAAGGACCATGAGTTTACCAAGCTTCTCCCGGATCTTAAAACAGCAGATCCAGACGATGCTTTCTCATCAGTTCCTTATGAGAAGGTTTGTGGTCATTTGAATGACATTGCGAAGGGTTATGGTTTTGCAGGGGTCAGCACTTTTGTTTACTCTTGATCAAAAGTTAGGAAATTCGGAGCGGTTTGAAGAATTTTTGCGAACTTATATTAAAAAGTATGTGACTTATAATTTCATCATAGGTTCCCTCTGTTTTCTCTAGGCATGCTTACAAGACTGTTACTACTGACGTGTGGAAAGCGGACTTGTATGAATATTTCGCTGATAAGAAGAGTATTCTAGATGAAGTAGACTGGAACAAATGGTTGCATGCTCCCGGATTACCACCAAAGCCAAAGTCGGGAAAATTATCGAAACTTTTTTATCTTATGGTTTAGATATGATACGACCTTAATGGAAGCTTGTAAAGCTTTGTCGGATCAGTGGCTTTCAGCAAGCCCTCCACAGGATCCAACAGCGTTCTTCGCCATGTCTTCCAGTCAGAAAGTAGCTGTTCTTGACATTATTCGAACTAGTGGAAAGTTTGAGATTGCCAAGGTAGTCATGATCAAAAAACTGGATGTGATACTCCTGAATTTTTCCAGCTTCCCTCAATGACAACTACTTATGATTTGGTGAACACCAAGAACTGTGAGATACGTTTCAAATGGCTCATGCTTGGTCTAGACCTCAAGTGGCAAAATATTATCAAGCCTGCCTTGGACTTTGTTTTGACTGTCGGTCGCCTGAAGTACTGCAAACCAATATATTCGTAGGTTAACAGGAGGAGTTCAAAATATTATTACTTCTTCAGTTCTCTCTTCAAATGGCCACTTTCGCGGGCTAGTGCTGTCGATCAGTTCAACCGGAACCGTGCAAACATGCATCCAATCACCGCAGGAGTAATAGCTAAGTTGCTTGATTAATTATCATTTTTTTGTTTTTTTTCTATTTATCTATTAATGTTTAAAGTTTTCGGGGTTGTAGGCATAATAAAGATTCCATAGGGTATTATTTTTGCATCAGAATGTATAAAAAAGGAAAGGCTTAATGTAGCTGCAGTTTGATCTTCTCTACCAACTAATAAATTATCAGTCTACCAGCTGTCAGTTGATCCTCTGATAAAATGGTGTCATCAGCGGTAAGAAAGCTTTGTTCCAAACTCTGCACTCTTTTTTGAGTGACTCGTGACTTATTAGGCAATTGGGCGGGGCAAAAGCTTTGCACCTAGCAGGACCACGCTCTCCTTGTCTTAATAAAGGAAAAGTTTCCTCAGAGCCAGTCAGTTGAGGTTGGGCTGAAAAGATCATTAGGAACAGTCCTAAGGATCCATCGCAGCACACCTACACCGCCTATTCCGGTATCATTAATTTTTATGAGTATTGCCAAACCATGCCTGTCCAAGTGCACTTGTGTTCGAGAAATGCTTAACTCGCTTGATGTCAATTCATTGATAAGTATTTAAAGCAATGGACAGCTGTATTATCTTTGACCCGTTGTAAATGCCTATATTTTTGTAAATTCTCAGAAAACTGTTAAATAAGTTCTTTTGATAACCAGGTAACAAAAACTATCTCGTCTTGTTTGTAACTTGCTCTATATTTTTGAGTTTATAAAGATAATTACATCCTAATTGCAGAAAAATGTGTATGACACACCATCGTAATCGTCGTGATCCGTGCTCAGCCGCCAATAACAATGAAGTTATTGTGAAGCACATTGCTATCAAGTGGGATGTACACTTCCAACTTAAGATGTTGATGGGACAAGCAACACTAACTTGCCAGATGTTAACAAAGACTGATAAAATTGTGAGTTAATGTTCCACTTCTTGAACGAGTTGACGGAATCAAAGAGTAATCTCTGATAAACAATAATAATATTATTGCGAATTAGCCCTCTGGCCCCTCGTCATCCATTTTTCGAATAACAAGCGCATAAACAACCTATTCTCATGAAGCTCTTGCTCAATCTCATTTGTATTAAGCGATATGTAGTCTAGAAACTTAGGGAAAGAAGAGATAAAAATGTGTCAATGTTGAACCAATCTGGCGCCACAGATAAGACCCCCATCTGACGTTGATTAAGATTGCCACTAGAAACTGAAGTAGGTGAACGATAAGCCACACGAATTCTTCTCGTAACGGTCTCTGCCATGACGATTCATATTTGATTAGGATTAGCCGACGAAAAGATCATGCCTTGTCAATTTCAGAAGTATATGATCGATAGAGTGAAAGATAAAGAGGGCTGTTAAGATTAGTACGAAAATTGAAACATACGTATTATACTCATAATCATTCTTTTTCTGATAAGAGCAGAGCACAATTAGGGAGGCAAAAAAAGAATTAATCTTCTGTCTCAGTTCCAATGATCTACCCAATGATTTGAAATGATTGAATAAGCGGCGGCTGGTATTGCGTAACATTAACCTGGAATGTAGATAGGACCAGAATATAGTTTTGTCATCACATATTCTGGAGAAGCTTCCGAACTATACAGTTTCATCTTTTCGCGAACTCCAACGAGACACAACTGTATCAATGGGATAATAATCCTATTAAATTTGAAACACATGAAACACTTTTTGATAATGGCTTTTGAACAATAACGTACTAAACCGTAAGAGGGGCGAACTCGTGAACGTTTGGTTCAAGAGGGAACGTTTTCATTTTTCGATTTATTCTACAGAAGACCGGTTGAGCTCAAAACGTTAAGAAAGTCAAGAGAAACAATGTTATTTTTTCAGCTGTTGGATGTTCGTGATCTCTCAATCCGTTCAGTCAGTGTTAACCAAAAAGATGCTGATTACCGTATTGCACCTAATGTATATACTTTCTTCGGCTCGAAGATGACAATTTATATTCCTTCCGAATTCCAAAAAGAAGGAAGCGAATTGTGAGTCTTTCATGTCATGGCATTACATTTCAAATTCGTTTAGGGCTGTTGTTATTGCATATGGCACCTCTCCAGAAGCTACTGCCTTACAATGGATGAAAAAAGAACAAACAGCTGATAAGAAGGTTAGAAATGGCAACTTTAGTTCATGGTTGTTGAACTTTAGAAGATTATTTTCATTATGTTGTGATAATGCTGTTTTGATTTAGGCTTCTTATCTCTTCTCTCAATGCCAAGCCATCCATGCGCGATCCATTGTACCATGTATGGATACTCCATCCGTTAAGACAACCTATGAAGCTGAGGTGAGTTTCTAACCATATTTTCTCAAACTCATTAAAAACATTTGCAGGTTAGAGTACCTCTTGGCTTAACTTGCCTTATGAGTGCTATCGGAGAAGGTTCCAAAAGTGACGATGAGTTCACAACTTTCTTCTATAAGCAACCTGTTGCCATTCCATCCTATCTCATAGCTATTGTCGTGGGTTGCTTGGAAAAAAGAGATATCAGTGATAGGTACAGTATAACATATGTTTTATGATTGAACTTTTGATATCCAGAGTGGCTGTGTGGGCTGAACCATCAATGGTAGATAAAGCTCACTGGGAGTTCGCCGAGACCGAAGATATTTTGGCATGTGCCGAAGAAATTGCAGGAAAATACATTTGGGGAAGGTTAGTTCGTTGTGAGATATATTTTGTAAATTCAGATGTTTCAGATATGACATGGTGTGCTTACCCCCTAGTTTCCCATTCGGTGGAATGGAAAACCCATGTTTGACATTCTTAACTCCCACTCTCATTGTAAGCATTTGGCTTTCTTGAATTGTTAACCTCTTTTGAATCTCAATAGGCTGGAGATCGTTCACTCGTCAGTGTTATTGCTCATGAAATCGCTCATAGCTGGTCAGGAAATTTGGTTACTAACAGTAGTTGGGAACATTTCTGGTATGTTTATATCATTTACCTATTCCGTGTTTGACACTCCTGTCATGTGAACATGATGTTTATTTACTCCGTTCCAGGCTGAATGAAGGTTTTACCATGTTTATTGAACGAAAAATATGTGGACGTCTCGTGAGTGAAGATTACAGACAATTCATGGCCTTCAATGGGTGGACAAACTCTTTAATGCCAGCTGTGAGTTTTTCAAAACTGGTATTTAACCTGTAAACCATAAGCGAGGCCTAGTCAGCATAAGAACGTTCGATCATAAATTTGTTCTTTTGTTCATTTTGCAAATCAGCAAGCTCGCACTTTACTCCATCACTCGGGTGACAATTTCTTGGAAAAATGGACTTTGGGTCAAAGTAATAGATAAGCAAGCCTTGAGAGGATTACCAAATGAAGTAGTTGTGGTCGGGTCATTTTTCATCATTTTTCCAGGTATATGAGCAATTCACACCTACACATCAATTCACCAAGCTCATACAAGATCATACCAACGTTGATCCTGATGTTGCATTCTCTTGCGTTCCATATGAAAAGGGATCAGCTCTCTTGTTCTACTTAGAGCAAAAGCTAGGAGGACCAGGTTAGTCTTGAGCTTTGATCCTTATGAATCATACTGATGTGAGAAGTTCAAAGAAGTGACGGTATCTCAATGTTCACTGTGTGCGATAAGATACCCACAAAGTTAAACGGATTTATCATTTACGAAATATGCACTGTTCTTAAAAAATTGTGATATGAGTGAGCAAGGTGCACAACTTTATCGACATTTTTGTAGTGATTAATAGTTAGATAATGAATGATGACATAGTTAGTGATAATGAGAAAACTTGCGTATTTCAATTATATCGATAAATTATTGGTTTTCCAGAAATCTTCGAAGAGTATCTGAGGAATTATATTCAAACTTTTGCCCACAAAGCAATAGATAGCATGCAATGGAAAGATCACTTGTACACATACTTCCATGTATTTGATCCGTTCAAAGCTCAATGATCAATCTTCTGTTTTAGGATAAGAAGCATATTTTGGATAAAGTAGATTTCAATTTGTGGTTCAATGGAGTTGGCATGCCTCCTGAGAAGCCTGAGTATGTTCTTCATTTTTGAGAACGTCTTCATAATCTTCTTTTTTAGCTATGGACAAGAAATGGTTCACGCTTGTGAAGAACTGTTCAACCAATGGATTGGAGCTAAACCAGAAGATGTAAGCAGCATTTGCCCATCTACTTACAAGGCTATGCAACCTCTCCAGCAGATTGAGTTTATTTCTCAGTTATGGCAGGTATGCTATATTACAAATTGTTCTTTCTATTCTATTCTATTGCAGCATGATCCTCCTCTTGAGCACTGGAAGCTTGAGGCTTTGAATGAACATTACAAACTGTCACAATCTCAAAACAGTGAAATTCTTTTGAAGTAAGCTCAGAAGAATTTGCTTCTTTTTAAAGTTTTTATGTTTAGTTGGATCCGCCTTTGTATTAAAGCGAAATGGGAGCCAATTATTGATAAAGCTTTGCACTTCGTATCCACCCAAGGAAGATTGAAGTATTGCCGACCAGTTTATAGGTAATAATGTTTTCATATTCTTATCATCTGTCTCCCAGCTGTACGATCAGACACAAATTAAAATCAAATCTTATCTTTCATTTCTTGAAGCATATGTTCGAGAAGTCTATTCTCATCTATCTATCTATAAATAGGAAAAAAATAACTTTTTTTCGTCTCATTGCAAAAATTTCCAGAGACCTCTCCAGTTGGCCAGCAGCTAACCGTCGTGCTCGTGATACATACTTAAAAGGACGACATGGCATGCATCCAATCACTGCTGAAATGATTGCAAAAGACTTACATCTTAGACATTCCACACACACCGTGTGTTTCTAAACTTTAAACGTTTGATAATTTTGATTTTTTATAATTCTTTCTGTACATTGTACATATGATTTTTGATTCAAAGATAAAGATGATTCTACGATTCTTATTATCAGTTGATGCTTTGTGTTTTACATTCAAAAGATGTAGATAGTTCATGATTGAACCTCACAACAATGAAGAAAATACAAAAGAGAATAAAGCCATATAGACCTCCATGCACATAAATTCTTTTCTTTTTTCCGGACAAGTAGATCTGATCGGACGATAAACTCAAATAAAAAACTCAGAGCTAGAGGTCGTCTGCTATGAAGATTTGATAAAAAAGCTCATAAATTTCAAAAGATTAATTAATTATGGAAAAGATAAGATACTAATGAGATTTGATTATTATTATCAAATAACAAATTTCTATCTGAAACACAGAAATAAAAAAATTATCTTTGGAACTGAAACACATGGCTTCATGTCCTTCTACTGACTTCCGTATTCAGAGATTAATGACGATAAGAAGGCGGTAAACGAGAGAAATAAAAGAATCAAACGAATTATACTTCAAATCTATAACTCAAAAAAAGAAATTATTTGATTTTACAAAAAGCGAAGGCGTTTTCCTCGATACCTCAAATCTGTCAATCGAGAAAGGCTCACTGTAAGATGAATAATGCCCTTCAATGGAGATGCTCTACATCTATTTCTTCAACAGGTATGAGCTTACTATTTCACATAATTAATTAATTTTTTAACAGATGAAGTCAACTCTCATTCGTGATGACTCAGCCGAAGTTACTTCTTCCGCTGTCGAGGTTTTATTAATTGAAAGGTTGGCTATCGCTAAGCAAGAGCTTGAAAGCTCTCAGAGGAAAGAGGGAACAGGTTCGAACTCTATACCTCATTATCATAACTCTTGTGTGTTTAGTTTTTCCAGCTCGTAACCGATACGGTCGTCCTTATATTTCTGGTCGTCCTTTGCTTACTTGCGATCGAAAAAAAATCCTCCAGCTCTTCCAGATGGGAATAAAGAAAATCCACATAGCTAAGAGTTTGGGGATCACTCACAGTTGTGTCAGCAAAGTATTGAGGAAGTAAGACAGAAATAATTCATTCTCTTCTATAGCTATAATAGGTTCCATGAAACGGGCTCAATAGAGGCGCGTGTTTCTCGCACAGCTTCTTGTTCCTGTCCTGGGTCATCAACTGACCATGACTCTCGTTTCTGTAAGCATATATCCCGCAGCAACGCAATCACCAAAGTAAAATTCACAATTGAAAAGTAACATCTACATTATAAAATTTATCAAACTTTCTATGTTTAGCATATTGAAACATCATGAGTCTCGTGAAGTGGTGTATTACTCAAAACCTCATGATAGATAATGCATAGTCAGTTTAATAAATAAATTAAAAGTGTTCTGATAATAGTTTACACGGAGAAAAACACAGCAAACAATCATCCAGAAGTTATAATACAACCGCTCTTTGCGTATGCAAACGATATGACTGGTAACGGCCTGGTATGTTCACGTTCCACGTGAAGCGGGCCTCACTTATTCTAATTCGGTCTGTTTTAAAATAACTTGATTCTAAAAGAGAATCTGTACCAGTTATGATTACGAAGCGGTACTGATGTAATAACAAGCCGGAAATTGAAAAAGCATGAAGTAAAGCCCTGATAACCAAAATGTGGAGAGGAGCTTAAAGTTGCGTACGCCCACACGGGTTGTAGTCTACAACAAAGTGATGCCGCCGTCACAAGAAACAGTTACTCTACTATTTATCGATTTGACCTATACATTTTATTATTTCATCATTTTTTTTGATATAAAAAAATATTTTTCAGCCTCCCTATCTATTGGAAGCTGTTAGACTTCGGGAGATGAAAAACCGCTGTGTGTTGCTACTGTAGATGTTTTCAATGTTTGTATTGTATGAATGCTTGTTTAAATTCAATTCAATTGTTCTATACAATAATAAAAGTGTTTCAGAATTTCTTCGATTCATTTGAAACAAGATAAATCGCGTGTAGACATAATGTCCTTTCGCTTAACTAATGAATATGGTCCTCGCAATACTTTTCGCTCTCATTTCCGCCATTGTGTTGCGACTAAGTCGTTTTTTCTTTCTTGTAATCAAGAAAAGTTCTGTGCTCATTGTATGGGGTTCCATGGAAAGTGAGAATATGTTTCACTATGATCTCTTGCAAAGTCGCACTCTTATTGAGTGGACTACTCATTTTCGGATTATCCCGTCCCAGGAAACCCAATTCCCTTCCTTGTGCTTGGCGATGGTATTCAGATTTACTTCACAAGACTTATAGTGTTCCTTCGTTTTCTTCCATCTCAACCATTTCATATTCGTCAAACATATTCTAAGTAATTGATTATCTTGAATCATATTCCTGTGATCATAATCACGTTACACGAATGGTTAACAACTATTTCCTTTATCTACTTGTAAGTCTCATTTGGCATAGTTAAAGCTAACATAAACTATTCTGATAGACTTTTATGTTATTGCAACTCATTGGAGGAACTGTGGCTTGTGTTCCTTCAAGGAATCCAGATCCTGGAACTACAACCACAAGTATATCTGTCAATATATATATAGGCTGTATAAATCATTTAATAGGTCCAATAACTACCACTACCACTACTCCTATTACCACCACTACAACATCTACCAACACAGGTACGACTACCACAACCATGACAACAACAACAACAACACTAATCACAACAACCGTATCTCCATCGGGTAACGTTATAAACAACCTCTAAAACGGTTTTATGAAATACCTCTCATTTATACAACCGTCTTAGATTTTTATAGCTTTTTCAATCTCCTAATTAGGGCATTCTATCCTTTCTACCATTGACTCTTCGAAAACTATTGGTTAATGTCATTTAGAATGTGGCACGGAACTCATGCAAACGCTCACAAACTCAAACTTCGCTGATGGTAACATGACATTTGTGTATGACAACGACTCTTGTCGTCGAATCGCTCAAATCATCTGCTCGTAAGAAAGATAATCAGATCCGACTTTATACAAACACATTCCTAATGCAGAGGTGATCCTATATTCGAACTGAATGCTGGAATTGTTGTGAATGAAGTATTCTTCTTGGACTACAACTTAACTTCAGTCACCGTTGAAGGAAGGTGGAATACAACAGATGGTCAATGGTAATAAATACAAGCATTATATGTGTAACCATTGAAACCAAATCAATTCTAGGTATGTATCGGAAGAGCAGCCTCTAGCAGTTCAAACGTTAGAATGCCTGTTAACAGATCCTCCATAACTGACTAGGAAATAATAGAAGTAATGATATCATCTTATATGGGTGCCTTTCTAACAAACTGATTTCCATTTTTCTTTCTTTCAAATCAATTTTGAATCTCTTTCCTACACTCCTTATATGTCTTAATAACCAAACTACAACTGTCATTTAACTTCGGGTCAATATTCTTTTCATATTTTGTTATTAATCGATTTGTTTAGAAGTAAATAAAACAATTTTATGTTAAAAACTGCACGTACAAATACAAAAGAAGAAGGTACAAAGTATATAAGAAACTGTAAATCATATTGATTGTTCAAGTCAAAAATGGTTGCAACCGCTCTACATCTACTCTTGTACTGAAATGACAATCTCAACTTATGCTATTATGCAACGTGGCGGTTAACTGCTATTCTAATTTCGTTTTGACATTCAAACTGCGGCAGATATTTGGTTTCATGATAGGAAATTAGTTTTCAGAACAATTTGTATGTTTTGAAACAGAAAACGATCATATGCCAAATTTCACTGTTCATTCAATTCATATGGCAATAAGCTCAATTTTCTTTAAGCTTTACATTAATTTCCACAGGAAATTAGAATTGTCGGGGTAAGCATAAATTTGCTTTGTATAAGCTGATTTGCAAGCATTGCCTACCCACCAATAACAGATGAGCCGAGAATGTGTTGGGCGGAGCTTACAGAAATGAGCTCATCTGTCTTGTCCTGTTATGAGCAGACCTTTGTCTAATCTGGTATATACGCTTATAGCCTTATATCGTCATAAATATTGAGATATTACTTTTTCGGATATGCAACTGGATAAGTCTCAACAGTTACCTGATAATCAGTCATTAGCACATGCAATTCTTACTAGTCTCCAGCCTAAAGGTATAGCTTTCATACTCTTCATGTAGATTGAATTTCTTGTAGATTCGTCTTCAGATGATCGACGGATTCGCAGAAGTCGTACAGCTTTCAGTGAAGAACAATTAGATGAATTGGAGAAGTAAGTAACTATATGTTATATATTCATTAGAACTCTTTTCTAGATCTTTTATTATGTGTGCATATCCTGATATTACGCAAAGAGAAAAACTAGCAAAAGAAACTCATCTTCCGGAGGCTAGAATACAGGTACGTGTATCACAGTAAACATAAAATATTTTTGTAACTCTTAATAATCCTATGAATATTTGTTTATGCCCAGTAAGGGTAAAGGCTACCGCTGATCATCTTCCTCTTGTATTCTCCCTGGGATGTCGTTTTCCAAATAAAGATCTATATGAGCTAGCTCTAGGAAGTATGTTGTCTTCCGGTCAACCTGTACATCCCAAACTTCATCTTAATCCTACAACAACCATTCTTTCTCCTCTTTTTATGAAATTCGATAGAAAATGATAATTTTCATAAATTCATTTCAAAAATATTCCAATTAAACGATTTTCTGTATCTATTCAAGTAATAAAATACGGTAAGCCATGCCATGGTTTTGTACATTTATTTGTTTTGGAACAGGTGACATGTGTGATTATTGCCCACTGAGTAAACCGTGTAAATTAGCTAGACTATTAGCTTTTTGAATTTCCCGACAAGATATACATGAGTATGGATAAGTTTTTCGTTTGAAACCGTATGTCCGATTTCTTTTGTTCAATTCATCTATTCATTAGCTCATAATGGAAATGAGATTGAAATGAAGCTTCGCTGTTCACAGTCTTAGAACAGAATTTGCGAGTTAATACTAAAGTGTCAAATGCTATCATAAGTCGGGAAATCAACAGAAACTTATTTAAATAGAAGCATTCTATTTTTTGAAGTGATTAGACAGAATTTATTGGTCAGAAACATTTTAAACTTCTTGTACTAACTTATTATCCTCGTCTCGTTGCAAATCGATCCTTTCCTCAAATAAACCTATGTGTCAATAGGTTTATAACTCTTTATTTTCCGTTTTTGTGCGGAAACCAAAAAAAAACGGAAGATTACTTTAATAATGTTCTATAGGTATGGTTCAAAAATCGCCGTGCGAAGCAAAGAAAACGCCAACGCAACCAGTGCTCTGAAACTCCCGATGAATGCAATGAGAAGGCTGAGGACAACAAAAAAAATACAGTAATAAGTGAGTAAAGAAACGTATATGTTTTCCAAATAAGTGCTTCAGCTTGGACTCCAGGAACAGCGTTCGCTAACTTCTTCCATTCTCCATTATTGAATCAACAACAGTTCTTACAGTATCCATCTCTACTTTCTTTTCCTCATACACAGGTTAGAGTCAAAATAAATAATAAAAAGGCTTTAGAAGGTTAGAGAGTTTGTAACTTAATTTTTGGAATTAAGTAGAATGTGAAGTGCGTACTTGACAAACTCGGTAACTCTTTCAGCCTTTTTCATGTTGCTGTAATAGAAAAATTGTAACCTGAGAAGAACATGCAATGTCTTCTGATGACATCAAATATATAAACAGATTGCCATAATCGGTTAATAGATAGTTAAGTAACAATGATTTCGTTGATTGCCTACTATTACGTTACATGGGAAAGGCTTAGAGTGTTCAAACATTTTTTTTGTTTGTGAAAGGGTTAAAATGTAAAGAAATTGGAGAAGGTGGTGAGAAAAGCTGTCTTAATAAAGTTGTTTTTCAGATTAGTCATCTAGCAGCTACTCTTCCCAACCAGTCTTTTAAGATGTGATAATCTTTTTTTTTGAAATAATATGCACTTTTCATGCGGGCTTGGATACTTTATCGTATTGTATTAAACTTTGTTCTTTATTAAACTTTATCATTTTTATATTAACTAATTCAATTATGGACACAAATGTTACAAGCATTATATTGATTCAATTCAATTTTTATCTGAACAGAAGTTCATGCACTCGTTGTAGGTGGCGAAGTTGTTGGGGTTTCCTGCTTTACCGTAGAAAGTAAATAGCATACAGCTGCCGTAGTCCTTGTTGAAGAAATATCTGAAAATGTGTTAATTTAGACGGCAAGTTCAATGATGACGGAGAATTGTTAGTGGGACAAGTTAGTCGGGACAGAGGGTGCAAGCTTTAGTGCTTGAAGAACCTCGATCCTGGATGGCCTGGTTCATCATCTGACCTGGGAGTGTGTTTTCCTACGGATGAGAAACGTCCAGCATCATAATTCAAGCCACAGAGATAAGCTATAATTTTTCACGATTCTCCTTACAGTAAGCCAATCAAAATTACCTTTCTGGGGGCAACACAAATTATTTTCACATGCGTACCCTTGTGGGCAAGATGAACATGAGGTAGGGGTATCGAGAGTAGCTCCAGCAGCATAAGCTCCAGAAGCACAAACACCAGATGTTCCACCTGAAATCTAATTTGTAAATATGTTCTAAACTCAGTTACGAGTTAAACCGATCGCATCATTACTTAGTTGCAAAATGAATCTTAAGCTAACAAACAACGCGCAAGAAATCAAGAAACCATTTTTCCACGTTTAGACGTGTTTTTCTTTTTTGACGTGACTTTCAAAATTTGAATAACTGTTTAGAGAAATAGTCACTGACTGCTTCCAGGGCTTGAAGCTGCAACATCATGCTGTTGATTCCCACTGCACGTTTGTTCACATTCTGCTCTCGATGCGAAGTTGTTTAAAGAGCCGTTGCATCCCTGGAGAATGTCAGTTATTGTTAGAAATAGTTGAATAGCTTTGCTACTTTAAAATAGAAAGGCTGGCATCTACTAGACTTTTTATCAAAATAGAACCGCTGTGAACCAGATTGATTACATGAGCTATCTCCAGCTGATCTTGCTAAAAGAGAATATGTGACTGTATGAAGTCGTATAGATTTGGCAAACGTACCGTCCGTGCAAGGAGATTGGGCAAATGCCATAGGAATGAGGTATAATACGACTAGAAGGAATTTCATTTCTGGAAAATATCAGTTTAATTTTAGGAAGAGTTCATACTAAAGAAAACCAAGAAGAATTAATGAGAATGAGAAAAATTTTTGGATGGCAGCCTATAAAACGAAAAGACATTGAAACTAGTTTCCATTGCCTGTTCGTCTTGTTCTTTTATATTCAGCCACACAGATCTTTTAATATTTACTTTGAAAAGTTACTATTTGATATAAGTGAAGGCGGAGAAAAAATATTGTCAAACTTTAACAGAACAACCATTAGTTTGAACAATCTTTACAATTTTTGAAGACAAAGATCCAACAAAAGAGCAATTTGTTAAGCTAAGCCAAACAAAACTCAACGGTTCTTGATCGGGAATAAGTAGAGCAAGCTGAAAGTCAAAGCACATGGTTAGAAGGAGTGATATCATAGTTGCTGAACTATCGTGCCGGCACGTAGCAAATGAATTAAACTTCTTCAAGCGATGTTTTCTAGGAAATATGTTGTTGTAACATGTGTCAAGAAAGGTATGGGGAATGAAAACAAGGAGTCACAAAGAACAATCAGTTTATTTGATAATTCTCAATTATATTCCAGCACAAAGACGTGACAGAAAGATACATTTCTAACAATCATCTATCTACGTGTTGTTCCATTTATACAACTAAAACAAATCCTTAGAGCACCGATAGTCGATTCGATTATGTTAAAAGTGATAAAATTTCAAATTCTTACGGATAAAATATAAATATAGATGGGAATGTTGTTAAGACAACTCAAGATAAGGAAAGTACCCGATAATAAGAGACAACTTTTGATGAGAATCGCTAAGCAACTTCAAAAGAGCACCGTCTCATGATTCTTACTTAATATAGGGAATTATGAAACATTATTAATATAGGAGATGGATCTGTACTATCAGGAGAGATATATCAAAGTTAAACAGGATCAGAGATACTATCTATCAATATCTCAGAGAAACAGGCACTAGTGGAACTCTTTCTATAGTTAGAATATCTTAGATTGGCTTGATGCCATTGCTAGCATAGAAACACTTCACAAACATAATAATACAAAGAAATAAAACTTAAAAAAACCCGTTGTAACAGTAACCAGATGTTTCAATCCTCTTTGATTTCCTTAGGTTAAAATTTCTCGTAATGCGCAGTTCGATAGTAAGAGCTGTTTCAGATCATCTTCCACACTATCCAACACACTAACAACTTGCTTCACCTTAATAAGAAACATTGATTCTTTGTACACCCTTTGCTGTTCTTACAAGTAACTGCCGTTTCTGGTTTGAAGGATCAAACTCAACTATATAATCTCTAAGTCGCATGACTAGTTCCACTACTTCTACATTATGCTTTGTAGAGAGAATCGTTGAGCCTACAAATAGAAATCATAAATAATACAGCATACGTATCAACCAACCCAAGTCTGCGGAACATAAAGCATCAACATAGTGCACTTTCAACTGAGCATTCACATCTTTCGTTCGATTCGATAACCATCCAATGAATATTGAAGAAGCAATGAAGCTACGGTAAAGCCCTAACTTTTTTTTAGCAAGAATTTCATGAATGTGCGACCTACCTTCCCAATCACCTTTCATCCCACAAGTAAGACTTGGTCCTGAATCATCAATCGTTGTTAAAAAGTCTTCCATTCGGAAAGGACGCGGGTTGGGTACGCGCTGTAAAGATAAAAACATCTTTTATAAGAAAAACCATTCCACATACTCGAAATGGAGACATCTCTTTTCTCAGAGGCATAAGTGTTGATATGTATCTCTCCAAGGGAATCATGAAACTTTGGGTTAATTCCAAAAAGTGCCGCCTCAAAATCGCACTTTGAACCTTAAGAGAAGACTTATACATGAAACATGGTATTTGAAACTTCTTCAGGTCTGTCAGATTTCATTTTCTTCTCCAATGATTTATCTTTGTTCAAAAAAGGTTTATACTGGGTGTATAGCCCAGGTTTAGAATCCAAAGTTCGAGGATCCCATGTCTTCCTGAATTCGTGATATTGATAGAATTGCAGAAGATGAGAGACACCAACCTTGATTTATCATTTTTCTCATTCACGCTTTCAGATTCGGACTCGTCTGCTATCTATTATTGAAATCGTAGAAAGAATATGAAGTTGAAACTCTTTACCTTAAGAATGTGAGGCCAATGATCAAGTGCTTTGGTGAATAAAGGATTGGTTACCCCAAGGAATACTTTCGGTCTAGAACGAATGTTTTGGTAAAGTATGAAGTAATAAAGAAAACTCACGGAGCTCTATTTTTTGCTGAGTATTCCTTGAATTCCGAATCATGAATGGTAAAATATGGTCGATAGTCATTTATATTTTTTAAAGGAGCAATAAGTGAAACTAATGCTTGCACAGTAGAAGAACAGATTGCAGGATTGTTAGCGATTATCAGCAAAGGCTTAAATCGGATCATTAAAATCTTCCTGAAAATCGAAGACTACCTCCCCAATCATTATAAGCTCCCAGAGAACATGTAGATGTTTGATGATATTTCTCAGAGGTTGATACACATTGATTTGATCAACACTATGTATTACGATGTTTGACTGTGAAGTATCACCCAACTATAATGCTTGTTTTAAACTTTGAGTCTTTGTTTTCTGAATTCACCTCATGTTTATATAATAATCTATCATATGGCATATCAGTAAGAGCTGGAATTCTACACTGAATCATACACCCTAAGAACGGAAGCGAATACGTTTCTCCACAAACGGGAGCAGGCCAGCAATCAATATCGTGGCAAGCTGAATAAGAAGCATAATGAATTATTAATTTAAAAAATAACCTGCTTCCACCACAGGCTCACCATTGTCAAAAAAACTGGGAGCTAATCGGGATACAACAGTTTGGAACAGATTATAGAAGGGTAGTACGGTGAGGAGTACAATACTCTGAAAACAACTAGTTGCAGGATTATCTTTGTGATAACAAACTTTTTGATAATATCCTCGAGGAATAGTTGGATCTTTTTGTTGACGGAAGTGAACAAACCCATATAAGTAGCGAGGATCGAATCCAGTCGAAGGAGGTAAGTTATCAATCAATGCTGTTTGAGCTGAAGTAACATGGCCAGTACTTCTGCAAAAACGTAACAAGTTTCGAAAATTTAAAACAAAGAAAGTATGTAAGACATGGAAAGAGTATGAATAATACTACTGACCTTCTTATCCTGAAATGGTAGTGAGTATCAGCGCTGTTCCCACTATTAGAATCGGGAAATGCCAAATAGCACACATTTGTCTTCTCTGTGTTTGATAATAGAGCATCACCGGGATATATAATCTGAAATAATGAAAAACGTTATGTATTTCTCTTCAACAACTCACTTCCAAAGCTTGGCCTAGCTCAAGGTCAAAGGTAACGATACAAATAGAATGAATCCATTCCCGAAAACGATCCCAATCCATGAAATCCTGTGACATTGCTGAATGCCTAGTGGAGTGTTGATAAACATGTGCAGAAAAACGAGAACAACAAAAAATGAGGGAAAACATCCTAGTATAATAGTAAAAATCAATAAGTAGAAAAATAATAAAATAAATTTCATACGGAAGTTTCTACTTTCATTCTACGCTTTGGAACAATGAAAAGATTGCAAACATGTCTTTCATTGTTTTCGGCTAATGACTTGATAAGCGCAAATACACAGCTCTTGTATATCGGTAAAGCCTCCGAGCTGCTTTGTGATAAGCTTTCTTTCCATATCAAACAGATCCTATGAAGACATACGGGATTAGCCGACCACCCAGATTCGCCGGTCGTCTGACACTCGAAAAAGCGCGCTGATGCTAAAAGTCCTTTAAAAAGACCGCCTCTAGAAACTCGAAATGGGAGAAGCAACATATTGAAACAATTGTGCTACAGTACAAATCGTTTATTCTTATGACTTGTTATACAATGGAATATAAAATGAGAAAGTCAACAGGCAGATAATTTGTTAACAATAAACTCGTATTTAAACCTGCACGAAACGTGGTTATTGTGAGAAAGTGAGTATCGATTAAATAGATATTACAGTTTGAAACCATAATTGGAAAACGTTGGATAAGTTCAATTCGTAAGATACAAGATCATTTTCATTGGTTACGCAATGAAGTTCGAAGTCTACGTGGGGGGGAGTTCCTAGAACGTTTACTATTATTCAAACTGTTAATAGAAGCCTTTCGCTTAGCAGCCCTAGTTCGGTTCTGAAAATTGATAAGGATTAGAATACCAAGCAGTTCAACAAACCCTCGAGCTGTAGTAATCATCATCATCATCTTCATATTCCTCGTGCTCATCTCGATTAGAAGTTTCTTCATTTTCATCATCTTCGTCTTCGTCTTCTTCTTCTTCTTCTTCTTCGGACGTAGTAGCTTCCGTATAGTTCGTATTTTTCACAGGAGTTCTGGGTTTACATCCAGCACATGTGTATCTGTTTATAAAATATTGTTAAAGAACAGTGACATGTTGCTCACTTTAAAGGCTTCTCTTGAAGTTTTGGTCTTGTGCAATAGTAATGAAACACTTTGCCGCAATCTAAGCAGGCGATTTTCGCATCGGGGGATCTCTTACTACCACAGATCGTGCAGGACTGAAAAAGCATTCAACTTTGTACGTGATTAATCTTAGATTTTACCTTCTCAGTTGTTCCTTTCTTCCAATCGATTCTAGTATCCAGAATTCTCAGTAAAAGAAGCAAGGCTGATATATTATGGGCTTCAGACAACCTCCGTTTCCATCGCTGAACTTTGAAACAAGTGAAGAATCCTGCAAATGTTAGGGATTAGTCATCAGAAGATCGATAAGAACAGCTATTTCACCTTCTTCTCTACCAATGTCGGTTTGTATAGCATTAACTGGTATGGAATCAATTAGAGCTATCATAACAGTTTTCTGGATGAATACAAATGAATAAGCGTATCAGTGATTAAAACTACTTACAAGATCATCCAGAGTATCAGCCGAAACAACTTTAGCTTCGTAAGCAACAGCATCCAAATCGCTCAAGTAGCTTTCACTTTAATGAATGGTAATTGAATAAGATATAAACTTCTCACAAACCATAAGTCTTTGCTCACTTGGAGAATATCGGTCTTCAGAAGAGCGTTGAAATCTTCAGTTTTCTCTTCATTGGTGGGCGATTCGCTTCTGTATCATGTGTTTAGAGCCCAAACAATTGAAAACTAACTTACGTAGCTTCGTGGAGTTTGTAACATTTCTCCAACAGGCTTTTGTTGTTCGAAAGGAACTAAACAGCAACGTTGAATGAAGAAAGATTTTAAAAAAAACCTTTTCTAATCTTCTTTCACGGGAACCAACTTTATTCAAAGAACTTGCCAACACTAAAATATCTTCTTCCTTGTCAATATGATACCATTTCTCTCTGAAAAAGGAAGATGAAAAGAGGTAGGAACAGTCAAGAACCTATCCACAGACTCGCTCTCTGTTTGATTTTCCTCTTTAACTATATCCAGACCACTTAGGCCGTTATACTTTTGCTCATGGAACTAAAAATTATATGGAATGCACATAGAGCTCAAGATACTTACATCCTGAACCCACAGTCCTCGATCTCTTGTTTTTGTGTAGAATAAATAATAGGCACGACGATTACGATCATAACCGACCGGAACAAAGCCACGACATGTGTGACTCATATAAGCATGAGGCTAATAAGAAACATTACTTAAAGATATCCAATGAAAAATACCGCAAGCGTTTCAGTCAAATCAGCTACTTTAACCAGCATATCAGATATTCTTCTTTCATAGTCTTTCTTCTTCCTGATCGTCTCCGCTCTTTCTTTGCTCTGAATTCGACTTAGCATAGACATATCTGCTTCTTCTTCATATACAGGTAATGCTTTAACTAAGACTCGTTGTTCTTCAATCTTTAAAACAACAGTATGATTAAGAAATGACTTATAGATCCAAACCTGATCTTTAAGAGTTTGAACTTTCTTCTTCAAACTGTTCACATACTCTGTGGATCTCTCATTAACAAAGTCCTAAACTTAGTTATTCATTATTTGAAAAACAATTATGAGACTAACCCTATAGGATTGCGTATCCAAAATCTTGAACATTAAATACTTCATAACATCTATTTGAATAACAGGAGTCAACTCCCAGAAGTTTGAAGACGGCTTGAAAGATTGCAAAAGTAGTTCAACCTCCTCCTATTATAGTCAGGAATCATGAGAGCATTCACCAAAATGAACTTACAGCTTCAATTTGAGATTTTTCTAACTGCGACCCAGGAGTACTTCTTCCTTCATCGTCAGGATCATCAACCTCCTCTTCTTCTTCATCTCCCGCTTCTTCCAAATCTTCTCCCTTCGATCCTGTCTCACTTCCATCAAGTTCTAAACCTAATGCTTTTCTCTTTTCAGCAAGTCTGGCTTTGTTCTCTTCGCTTCTATCAATCCTCCTAAAATTAGTGTTCTTGGAACGTGTATGGACCACAAAACAAACGTGCTGATAGATTCATCTCCTACCATGAAAGCTCGACAAATTTCAGAAAGAGTACCTTCATCGAAAACTAAATCACGTAAACGGCTGTTCATATGAGCAATTTTCTAAACTATCGTGTGAACAACCATGAGAAGCTAACAAACCATATACTCTTCTACATTGACCAGCGTACTTAAGAATGCTTTCAGCACACTACAAGAAACCTTGAGGTAACCTTTTTCTCCATCGAATATCGCATCCAGCAATTCTTCTGTAATAGATACATAATTGAGAAATACTAAGGAAAAATATAAACCTGCAGTATGCCTAATATCAGCTTCGAAAAACCTTTTCATACTAGTCACAAATTGAGACAACATCAAGCAATCAGGGAAGTGCATCAATTTTTCTTTTGGAAGAACTATCTCTCTACCAATTATCGGTAAAGATGTGGTATTCACAGTGAGATCCTCGATGAACTCGTACTGATCCAATTTGAAGTGGTTTTTAACTTTCGGTTCCATCTCATTATACAAGGCTTTGCGATTTTCCTTCACTTTCTCTTTGTAAAGCCTCTTGTTATCTTTACTCATACCCTTCCTAAATAGTTTACCATGAGAAAGAAGAAGCATCATGTGAATCTTACATGCTTTCATTATCCTTTTTAACATCATACTGCTTAGTCACAGAGAATTTGATCAGTGGATCTTCGATCTTTTCAATCATACTTAAACTGAGATTGTTTGCAGCGCGAGTACAAGCTTCATTGAACTCCTAAACCATTCAGATTAGACATGAAAGTTTTTCCAAAAAACCTTTATGTTTTTAATGTCCCAGGCAGCTTTGAGCTTGCCAACATGAAGTTGCAATCGTTTTTCCCTAGCTTTGGGCGGTGATCCTTCAGTGGTAGTAGGAGTGGATGAGGACTTCATAGCAAAAGCATCTTTGATCTGAACGAACGAGAAATTACAAGAAAGAAAAAGTTACAAACAGTGATAGGTTTCTTTTCAGAATTCTTCTTCACGTTTTTCTCGTTTTCCTTCTTCTCCTTCTCTAACTTCTTCGTTTCTTTTTCCTGCTCTTTCTGTTCTTGCTTCTCCTTTTTGATCTGGTCCTTTTTTTCTTGCAACTCTTTTTTCTTCGCAAGCTTCACCGCTTCAATCTCAGATTGTTTTCTTTTCTTATCATCTTCCTTCAGCTTCTGAATGGGACAAGAATTAGGAAATACTCGAATGAAGAACTAAACTTCTTTCATTAGCTTCATAGCTTTTTTCTCAACGATCTTGCGATTTGAGGTAGGAGGGAGTCCTGCTCCACTACGCCTAATCTGTTGTACTGGCTCCTCCTCATCGGATGACTCGCTCGATGACGCCGCTTTAATTTGGGCATTTTTAGATTTTGGAGTAGTACAGAACAAGGAAGCAAGTTTGTTGACGATGTCATACTCAGAACGCAGATCTTCGTTAACCTCAAATATAAATATTTTACAAACAAAAAATCAACTAATGAGTACTTCCCAAGGTTTTCCCGGAATTTTCGTAGAAACTATTTTGATGAAATCTTTGAGTTCATCATCGTCCGGATCGAATTTTCGCCTGAATTCAGAATGGAGTGCTTAATCAAAGTCTGAACTAACTTGATATCGAGCCCGTTTATTTTGTTGGGCAAGTTCTTCCCATTTTGATTAACAACGTAAAACTTGGCACCACCTTTACGTTCAACACTAACAATGGTACCGTCGTTCACAGTTCTGGCAAAAAAAAGAGTGAACAAGGATGATAGTTGGGTTCTTACTCATTGTTTTCGAAAGAAATTCGCTCATCGGGGTGGAACTGTTTCAGAATTTCTTTGAGATCTTCACTTATCTTATCGATCGAAAAAGCACCTAGAGAAAGAAATACAACGCAATTAATGAAAAAGTAACTGACTTCCGCTATGATGAATCTTGCTCAAAAGCTTCTTCATTAACACATCGCCAATTATTTTTTTGTGTGTTTCAACATTTCTTCCATTCAGGACTTCAACACAATCATTTATCATATTATTTGGCGGTGTAGCTTCTGCTGAACTACCCTCTTCTAGTTCACTACTGAAACGATTTTCATATATAAAAACCAACTTTTGAATTGCCTGAAGTTTAAGAAAAATTTATAACAAGATATCATCAGCATGCAACTGCGAGGGAAGCATTCGAATCACTGAACTAATTTTATACTCAGCTTTCAAATTAAAAAGAAAGAAAAATATGCTGTAGCAATATAAGTAATGCAGTAATTGTCGAACAGATTAAGCATCATGCAACACAGGTGAAGACGCAGAAGGCTATCCAAAAATATTTCCTATTGCAACAGCGTAAAAAGAACTAGTCGGATACGAGAGGGGCTAGTGTGGCGGTAAAAAGAGTGGAGCAGCCAAAGCACAAGTTTAGACTGCAGCACAATTGTCATCGAAATCGCACAGCTTCATATATTGAAATATTAATGGAATACATTTTCAGTTATCAAAAAAAGAATATATCAGAGATAATGGAGTCACTTTCTCTAACGTTAAATTGTAAATCAAGCAAATTTTTAAATAGTGTATATTAAACATACGTTTTCGTTTTTTTGGACGGTTTGATTTTTCGGGATTTATTACTGAGATCAGCGAACGGCTTTTTTGGGTCGTCCACCGATACAGACATGAACCCCTCGAGCCGTTTTATAAGGACCTGAATATATTATATGAATCTTAGCAATAATGAAGAGAAATGAGAAGCATAAATTATAATAAAACAAAAAAATCGTTCAGGAAAACCCCAAATCACTTTCGTTATACATCAATTCTGAAATCATATTGGCGCGCAACATATGATGTGCGGGAAATTCAAATGTTGCGCGGCTATAAGCTGTGGAGCACACCGACGATCTAAGCAATATGAATTGTAATTATGCAAATAGGGTTTCGGTAAAAATATTTGAAATTATAGCGAAATATAACTTTTCCAATTGAGAATGAAAGATAGTGATACTATTTGAGTTTGTTTGTCAAAAACCAATCAATAAACGGCATATATCAGATGGCTTGCGAATTTGAAGTTCATTTACCATTGGGGGAACGTGTGATTCGGTTGTTCACGGCAGATCTCGTTTAAGTAATGGTCATTGCAATAATGGGATGCGAATATTTTGCGAGTTTTTGTGTATTCTTTCTTCATTTCTAGACATGAAGTGGATCTTATTTGTTTGTTTTGGAGCTCCCAAATATTACTTGCATGGATATACTTAGGGTATATCTTATATCAACCTGGTTACATGCATATAGCAGTATTTGCAACTTTCTGAGGAAAATTTGAGGGTACTTACTGTTTCAGGTGAAGAGATCTCATGGATCGAACTCCTGATAATTCAGCTGCAGTTTTATCATTCGACAATTTAGCCTGGTCCCCTACAGAAGATGCAGTGCATCTTTGGGAAGAGTCAAGGTAAGATACAAGGTGCTATCCAACCTCACGAACCAATTAACACTAACTCAATTAAGTGTAAATGGGGGAAGGTACAAAAAATCATTTGCAACATCGACCCCTAAAGTTTCTTTTCAAATTCACGACAGAAGGTAGTGCTAATCAATTTTTCTGTAATGAAATCTTAATTTCTTAGACGATTGGCTTGGCATCAGCAACCATCTACCTCCAACCCTTCAAGTATACAACATTCTGCGAACCGGTATGAAAAAAGGCTTTAGTGGAATTGCACTTACACCATTATTGTTTTAGAGAAAATAGCCAAGGTTATCAATTTTTCTACCACACTCAGGCAGGTAATTTCTTCGTTTTCATCAGTTTCAACTCTGACCACTTTCTGGTCGCCTTTTGCTATTTTATAAGAAATTGTCTGCATGTCTTCTAGTTTGTTCATATACTATGACGGGAAAACATGTAATTCTCTGAATCATATTTCTCTTCTGTGGTAACGCTGAATTGATTTCAAACACATCGTTTCTCTCCGATCCCTTTTAATTATTCTTATCATTAATGTCTATCCCTGTACCGCTTGCGACTTGCCACAATATAACCCAAGAATTGTGGTTATTATATTTTATTCTTTACATCTTAATATTGGAATTTCATTTGTAGCGTACTTTGCGGAGTACTTACTGACAACTTCCGTTTTAATATTTTTTCTAATTTCAATCTCAATCTTATTACTGAGATGATCGACCTTCTCTGCAGCCTCTTGCACGCTTATCTCCCACTGATTAACGGACCTGACTAATAATGGATCATTGCCATATCTTTCTTTCTGATTCTTCTTGTGTTGATGACTATGTCTTCTTATGACTTATAGTGTCCTTCGATGAAAAGTTTCATCGACCCAAAACCCTTCTAATATCTTACACACCTAACCATCTGTCAGTATCATTTTTACCGGTTGTTTAATAATCTTCATTCGTTGTTACAGGTCGCCTTTTATGTTCTTCCTATTATTTACTTCTGGTTCATATTAACCTCTCGAACATTTGTAGTTATAACTGCGAAGCTTTATCTCTTTAGTTTTCTCGCGGGGGCTTCCTAACTGGACTAAAACGTCGTGCAAGTTCATTATTGAGTTGGTCGATAACGTCGCTACGGCGAGGTATGATATCTTTTTTAGGCAAAACAGATCTTCTTTTCAGGTTCCGATTCAGCTACTACACACTCTTTTTCTGGTATTGAGATTACAAGAGGTTGCGACGAAGGTGATCTTATCAATTTATCAGAAATTTTTCCATCTTCTTTCATTGATATCCAGCAAAGTACGCTTAATATAAAGGTATTTAATGATTTTTTCCGGAATTTTTTTGTTTCAAAGTTAGTCATACTTCTCTTCTTAAGAATTCGTATCACATGGGGTCTTTATTTCGAAGTGAACAAGTTGCTCTTGTTGAGCTAATCATTACCAAAGATGCCGCCTACGAGTGCGTCGGTGAACTTGGAAAATTAGGGATGGTCCAGTTCAATGATGTAATCATTCAATTTTTTTTTTGTTTTTCTTTCGGCAATGCCTTAGAGAAACTTTGGCTCAAATTATTATCACTGATTTCAGCTAAACCACGCCAAAAACCTGTTCCAAAGGTATTTTGTCCGAGACACCCGTCGTTGTGATGAAGTGGAGAGGAAATTGAGTATGTCATACAAATCAGCATAAGATAGGAAGAGTTGTTCATTGGTTCTTTTAAGGGTTTTTGAAGCAGCAAATTCAAGAATGCACACCTCCCATCCGTTTGGCTCCGCCACCTATCACAAATCCAGATATTCCTACTCTAGTAGAAGTTAACCATATAGAAGTTTAATTTCCTTTATATATTCTAATTACTGATTGTTGTTGCAGACTAAACTCGATGAACTCGAAAAAACATTTACATTGCTCAACAGAAATGAATCACAATTAAGAAAAAATATGAATGAAATGAAAGAATTCAAGTTCGTTCTAGAGCGTGTTGAACAGTTTTTCGAAATTGTGAGTTTTCGCATTGATAAGTATTGTTTCAAAACGTTCATTACAGCATATCGAAGATGAAGCAATGTTTGAAATCGAAGCAGCCAGTGGGAAAGAAGTAAATTAGCGCGGATATTGTTCCTTACATTCTTATGTTTATAGGAGCCTTTTTCCAAGTCTTTCGGCGGCGCTTCCGGTATGGAAGTACCTTTAACTCCTTTAACACCTCTACTAACTGACAATGAACAGATGGAAAACGCTTGGTTAGTCATACCAATCATTCCTTAACAAGTGAGCTATTTGAGGTTTGTGGCTGGTGTGATTCCGAGAGATAAACGCACAACGTTTGAACGTGTTTTGTGGAGGGCATGTCGTAGAACAGCCTTTGTCCGCACTTCCGACATCAGAATAACCGTAGAAGATCCAGAGACTGTAATTTTGCATTGATCTTGATGAAAAAAATCATTTTGCTTTCCAGTTGAATCCAGTTGAGAAGTGTGTATTCATAGTATTCTTCAAAGGAGAAAGTTTGAAGCAAATCATCGATAAAGTTTGTGACGGGTAGGTTCACTACTTTTTCATCTAACTTCAGCCGTTAACAGTTTCAATGCAAGACAATACCCTTGTCCGAAATCGTCAAAGGAACGTCAGCATTCTCTCTTTGATTGCGTAGCTCGAATCAATGATTTGAGCGTCGTTCTGGACACAACCCAAGAACAACGATTCACGGTATTTGACTTGATTTGACTTATCATCCAAACAATTTAGATACTCTCGAGAAATGCGGTCGATCTTCCTGACTGGTGTCAGAAAATTCATATGCTTAAGGCTATTTATTCCACACTCAACATGTGCACAGTATGCTTAACTTGTATGGCTTTTATTGACAGTTGGGGTTCAGGTGGACACAAACGGTTTCTTGGCTGCTGAGTGCTGGATACCAGAAGCGGAAATGAACAATGTTTATGAAGCATTGCAACGTGGATTGGTTTGTTGCTACTGTATTTCGACGTACAATTAGCAAATTTAGGAGCAGAGTGGCTCTGACGTGTCTCCAGTTATGAACCGTATTCAAACTTCCCGATCACCTCCTACGTTCCATAGAACTAACAAGTTCTCTAAAGTTTTTCAATCTATTGTGGACTCCTATGGTGTAGCAAGTTATCGCGAAGTCAATCCAGGTATGAAATAATACCCTTTTGGTTTTGTGAAGATCTTATTTTGATAGCGCCTTTCACAATTATATCGTTCCCGTTTTTGTTCGCCGTGATGTTCGGTGATGCCGCTCACGGCTTGATTCTCTTCCTGACCGGTCTTTTCTTCATTTTGAAGGAGCAGCAAATTTTGAACAAAAGAATAAGAGATGAAGTAAGTTTATCATAATAAGTTGGTATTCCTGGTATGCTTCTAGATATTCAACACATTTTTTGGTGGAAGATATATCATCCTTTTGATGGGATTGTTCTCAATTTACACAGGAATGTTATATAATGATGCGTTCGCGAAGTCTGTGAATGTGTTTGGAAGTCGTTGGAGCAATCCTTACAAGTGAATATTTTCATATTTTCCTAGTAAATCCTAAAATTTTACAATCCAGTCAATCTGAATTACAAACTTGGATTGATGCGTCCAGCAAAAAGGAAATATATCGGGAGCTCGATCCTGTGATTGCTTATAATAATACCGTAAATTTTGCAACAAAAATCTGAGTTATGATGCTCGTTCAGGCCGGACCTTACCCATTTGGAGTTGATCCTGTTTGGAATATTGCTGACAACAGATTATCATTTCTTAATTCAATGAAAATGAAAGTTTCAGTCATTCTTGGTGTGACTCAAATGACTTTTGGAGTCTTGCTGTCGTTCCTCAATTACAGGTCTTCAATGTTTCTTTTTGGTTTTTTTTTCACTGGTCGATTTCAGATTTTTCAAGTCCAATGTCGATATATTCACTAACTTCTTACCTCAGATTGTGTTCCTGACTTGCATATTCATATATCTATGTGGTCAGATGATTGTTAAATGGTTATACTTCTCAGCTCATCCAGGAGTCATTTTCGGCCAAGAGTATCCAGGTAAAATAATTTGTTAAATATAAAAAGTCATATATGTACAGGCCCCTTCTGTGCTCCTTCTCTGCTGATAGGATTAATCAATATGTTCATGTTGAAAGAAAGACCTGTAGGATTTATGGATGGTGAGAATAACCATGCCAGCTGTTATTTGAATCAGTGGTATCCCGATCAGGTAGTTACTCCAATGCAATGTCTTTTCAACATATTACCTTTTCAGTCTTTATTCGAAACGATCCTGCTGGCGATCGCAGTCGCTTGTATTCCAATAATGCTATTTGGAAAGCCGTTCTTCAAATATCTAGAAAATAAAAGGAAAACTGGTCATATTAAGCTTTCTGAGGTCAAGCAGGTAGATTCACAAAGGTTTAACATTTATTCGTTCATATCCAGGAAGAAGGACATGTAATAAGCGCAGAGTCTTCGGATCATGGAATGACTGACATCATAGTTCATCAGGTATAAAGTTTGTCGAGGGTTTGATTATATCTGGTACGCCCAGGGTATTCACACGATCGAGTTCGTTCTTGGATGTGTGTCCCATACAGCTTCCTATTTGCGTCTCTGGGCCTTGAGTTTGGCACATGCACGTGAGTTTTTTATTGCCGTTTTTTTTGTAATAGTTGATCTCATAGAACTCTCTGAAGTACTTTGGCATATGGTTCTGATTTCCGGTATGAACGCCGGTGGAGACGGAATAGTCGGCTACTTTGTGACTTATGCGGTGTGTTATTGCAGGACTATGAGGAATAATGTAACATGCGTTTAGGTGTTCTTCATTTTCGCAATACTATCACTTTCGATATTAGTGCTGATGGAAGGATTATCCGCTTTCTTACATGCTCTTCGTCTTCATTGGGTTGAATTCCAGTCGAAGTTCTATGAGGTTTGTCCTTGTTTTTCCATTTTATAATCGAATGAGACTACCGTGGACTAAAGCTTTGAGAACGATCCTCGAGCAATTCTTGGTCGAGGATTTTTTTCTTCAGCCACAAAAGATGGAAACTGTTCTATTCATTTATCTGTAAAGAATTCACACTAATCACACAGAACTGTTGCATTCTATTAGCTCGGAGCTGTTGCATTCTATTAGCTCAGAGCTGTTGCATTCTTTTCGCTCAGAGCTGTTGCATTCTTTTCGTCTACAACTCATTTACCACACAGATATGTTGCATTCTAACCTGACAGAATTATTCCATCCTACTATACGTTTTGGATTCGTGACAACCTGATCCACACTTGCTCACACAACTTCCTATGTTAACGCAAACGTCTTTTGTTCAGTATCTACAGTCTGAGATACACTGTTCACGCTAATTGATTTTTTCTCACTAATAATCCATATTATTTGGTATTAGCTCGACAATAGCTCTTTTATCTCGGAATTCCTAACATTTTTTGATGTCAACAACAAAAGTTTTTAACACCAATCTTTTAGGGTGCTGGTCATGCTTTCCGCCCATATTCTTTACAGGATGCTCTTGAAGCTGCTCAAGAACAACTAGAAAGAGTAGAAGATGGATAAGCTTGCGTATCATTTGAACATAGTAGTATGCTGTGAACAGTTTCTCACTCTATTTCTCAGTCTTGATAGTTTTCAGTTGGAGTGTTTTTTTGTGGTTCGCCTTATCACTGCCTAATGGGTTTTAGAATAGTGCAACAAGCATAATATGGCTTTACCCTTGAGGCATTCTTACAGACTACCATTTCTTTCTTCGGGTTCATGTAGTAACCCACATTTTTGATAGATAACGTTTTAGAGCCATAGAAGCCATTCTAGAATAGAGTTATGTATTGTTATCTGCTCTCCAATATTTCTCCACCTAGTCTCTTTTAAGCTTCAGTAGCGGAATCTTTTCATCGGTTGACTCTTTTCGTATGTTTTCTCAATATATATTTATATATATATATATATACAAATATGTAGATATCTAAATGCGTAATAACTAAGATATTTTAATAAATTTTTAGTTCTTTTGATAAACTCGAATATGTTGCTCTCGGCAAGTTATAGAATCAGAAGTTTGAAACAGGATCAAATAGTTTGATTTTTTGATGGCGTTTCTGATCTGTGATGTTGACAGGCAATCCGACAGGTGTAATGAAAAAGGAATTTTTTAAAATTGCTTCCTAGTAGTTGACCTTGTTCCTGAATGTTTTCTTTTCATTTATCTATTGTTATCAAAGGTTAAAATAGAATATTATCATATGATTTTGAAAAAAATCGTGCGAAAAACTCTCGAAAATTTTGCTTCACAAGTGTCATTTGCGGTCATTTCTTGGTTTCTGTTAAGCGATAGACTAGCCATTCATGCGATAGGCACGTTTGTAATAAAATAACCAAAATTGTAAAGAAAAATTAATGAAAGTAAATAAAAGAATTAAAGCAAAAACAGACAGACTCGGGGTGGTATATCGGAAAGGCAAAAGGGGAGGAGAGATGAAGGACTAGGAAAAAGCTGCTGAGGGTAGAGGAGAATGATTCCCATGGGGCGAATAGCCTGGGTATGTGTGTATGCGAGCAAATGTATGTATGTGTGTAAATGTACATGAATCTATATTTTGTCTGTAAAATACTTTTTCCTCCGTTATTGTTTAATTATTTTCATATGAAAATAGACTTGAAAGTTGTTTTCCCGCTATGTGCTCATTGCTCCAATGTTTTCTTTAACGAATTTGTTAGGGCAAGTTGTCGTAGTGATTTGGATACCTCAGAACCGATTTTCATTCCTCCCCCAATGCTTGTTAATGCTCATATTCCCTATACAGATAAAGCTTCATAATTCTCCTGACACTAAAGTGTAGAGCAATAAGCTGTTGCTTTGGTTACAAGTACTTCAGTACGACAAGCCATTGAATCGATCTAAGCTTATCCAGTTGACGTGAACCTTCATATTTACATTTCTTTAAAAAATATTTGAAATGTAATTATGAAGAAAAAGAAAACAGCAATTAATCTAATTGAGAGACGTATTTGTGTAATGATATATGTCATTAATTCATAGCATATGTGCTGAAGTTTGCTTTAAAATCTTTAAAATGATCTATGCGTTTGAATAAGATGTAACAAGGAAAGATCAAGCTTTGTGCTAAAAGAAAGATAATGATTGAATAAGAGAGCTGAAAGATTTAGAATGTTAGAAGAAATATAAGGAGAATTTGTAGATGAGAGAAAAATGAAAGACGGGCTGCACAAATTTAAGAAATTATGTGAATGAGGTATGAAGTATAGAAAGAATGCCCTACATGTTCTCAATGAGAGAGATAGAGAGAAAATGACATAGAGAGGGAAAGAAGAGAGAGAGAGAGAGAGAGAGAGAGAGAAGGAGGAGGATAAGATGAGAAAAAGAGCAAAAGATGGAGACGGACTCCTAAATAATCTCAGAAAGACGAAACGAATGATCTGAGAGAATTTGTCTTTTCAGCTTATGTTATGCTTAGATCGTTTTATTTGTTTTTTTTTGTCTCATTTACTCATATATTTTTGGATATAGTCTAATACTTCTCTGAATTATAAATATACTTCAGTCAGTCAGAATATTCCAGAAAAATGACAACGTATTTTGAGAACGAAATAGGCTTTTCCCCTTTTTTTCACTCTCTTTTTCTCTTTCTCTCTCTTATCCACCTCCTACGACAGATCTCAATGTCCAGGATTCCACACACAACTTTCCATCATAAGCTTATACTTTTGTTATGTTTCATTCTCTCTCATTCTCTCTCTCTCCTCTCTGTTTCATAGTAACAGCTGTCGTGTTTTATTATTCATTTTTTAAAATCAAGAACTGTCTTTTCTTAATTTATTATTTTTTCTATGAAACTGTGATCATTTCAGAGGCAAGTGAAAGTTGCTGGTTGACCAGCTTACAGAACTGACCTGATGCTTCAGCCATCTTGGCCTCTATTATTCATCTATTATTCTTTTATATTCTCACATGTGACAATCGGTTAGTTATTCTTATTACAATCACATTCCACAGCTTCATTCGTCATTTCTCAGCTCTTTTCCGAAAAAAATCATTCTTTGCAACTCTTTCCGTCATTAACATGAACAAAAAGAATTACATTTGTGGGAAAGCAATTAATATTCTGAAGTTTTAATTGAATTTCCTTATTTCTTTTCATTTTTTCAAAACTGCTACAGCTCCTCATGAACATACTCTCTCTCAATATTGATCTATCTTTCCATAAATCCCGTTGCTAAGCATCTGTGCCTCTAAAGGAATGTTTCGTTTGAAATGCAAATTTAGCGAAGTTGAAGGAAAATGTGATTAAAGGAAATGTATTTAAGTTAATTCAATAAGAAATTTACTTTATTTCCTATCTTTAGTTCTCATAGTTTAATAGAAGCAGATATTCGTAAACTGTTTTTCAACAAACATTGCCTTGAGAAGCCATTCATGCAAATCTGACGAGGTTGTGAATACTTGATTGTTCTATAGTGACTCTCATAGATGGACTTCATTAGATTCTTCTAATGTCTAAGACCCAAAAACGTTCACAGTCCTATTATTCTCAAGAAATTCAATCACAAATCCAGACAAACAACTGAACATGCAGATGATTTCTGACGCAAGAGTCTGAATTCATTCATGAATTACCTCAGCTTAATCACTTTCAAAACAATTCCTTTACTTGGTATGAAGCTTATGCGCATATGCCATTCAGCGGTGGTTGTCGAGATGAAGACAAGGGATTCGCCTAATTTAGCTCGTTGATTTTGAGGATTATCTTTTGCCAATTTGTGAATTCGATCAGATAAAGCTGTCATCAGAACAATTTGGTTTTCTCTCTTTGTCTCTCTCTCTCACTCTCTTTGTGTCTCTCTCTCTGTTGCAGTTGAGACAAGGAAGATGATGATGTGGTGTGAACAGATTTCTTTTATTTCCTCTTTATTTCACTTTTTTGTTACAAAAATAAGAAACTTGCTCAACTTTAACAACTTCATTGTACTTAGGGTGATGAAAGGAAATCGTAAATGTTTCAAACTTTTTCTTTTCAAACAAAATGAAAAGCTGAACAGAAACAGAATGAAATTCGTATGGAAATTTGAGTGTTGACATAGTGAAAGGCAAGACAAATCGACTTGATGAAAGGTTAAGACTGAAATTCATTTTAAAAAGCTTCGTTAAAGCTCATATTTCTCTTTTTTTTTTGTTTTTTTGGACAAAAATAATTATAAATAAATGATGATTGCGGTTGAAGGATTTTGTTTTTTAACAAATTGCATTTGTCTTAAACGTTGATGAGCATATGTGAGGTCGGAAAAGTACGTATAAACGTATTTGTCCCCCGAGGGTATGATGAGAATGGAAAAGCCGGAGAATCTTCATCTCTTTCAGTTAAAGCATGAGAGCTTTGGGACTTCTATCTATAGAAGTTTAACTGACACAACTTCGAAATAGATATTGAAAACAATATTTATTAGCTCAAAGATCAAATCAAACTATTTCCTTTCATTTTTTTGTCTCCAAAGAACTTTTCAAGTCTATGAATTGATGACAGACCCCAACAAGATGTTTTCAGTTTCAGGTTTTGTGGCTCAGAAGAAGGTTCTTAAGCCAGTGCTCTCGGAAACTTCTAAACGACAAACTTCGGATGATATATCATATGATAGCTTATCTCTAATTCCGAATCAAGGAGAAAGAGGCGATCCGCATGGAAGGTATTGTTATAATCAAAATTATTAAAAAAATATATTGCAATTTGAGGCTGGGAGCATGGATTCGTGTTAATGCTCGACATCATATTCCAATCAAATATCCACGAACTCGTTTAGATGTACACGTGAGCGCCGGATTATATCAGATTGTTGATTTGGTTAGTTGTCTATAAAAACAAAATATTTTGAGACACAAAGCGACTTTCTTTTCGGATAAGGAACCAAAAAGAGAGAATCGAAAGAAGGATAACGGTGAAAAAGAGAAACTAAAAAAAGAGAAATCTTAAACATTGAGGAACATTGAGCATTTCTTATATTCCCTAGGGGCGATTAGACAGCAACGCTTTGGTCAGAAATTGGCTGTCAGATTTAAACTGAAAAAAAGAGAGAAAAGTAGATGTACTTTGACCAAAATGTTGTCGTTTGGTCAGGGGGTTGACAGAACCTGTTGAATGCTCAAAGAATTCTGAAATTCCAGGATCAGCGCAATAATTTGGCGACTGTATCGGCTTACTTCGATGTATGGTGGTTCGATGAGTTCTTGCAATGGAATACTACCCAATACAGTGGTATTGGAAGAATATTTGTACCCTTGAAATGGATATGGAAACCTGAGTTCTACATGTATCACAGGTATCTTGGCCGTATCCGATAATACAGTAATAATCTGATTTTCAGTGTGATTGGAAGAGTTCCAGACTTTCCGAATGATGCATCGGCAGAGTTACGGTTTGACGGACGTGTTCGGATGTTCGTATCGATTGCTTCGAAAAGCTTTTGTCCAATTAATTTTCGAAGATTCCCATTCGATTCGCAGACATGTTCTTTCTCAGTAAGTTCATTGAATTTTGAGAAGAGTTTTGAAAGAAGGTTTATTTTGTGTTTTCGCCGGAAGGAACGAAGCATTTTAAGTAAAAAAAAGAAAGGAAAGAGAGAAAATAAGAGCGTTGAATGGGAAGATATTAGACGACGGTTGAGTAAATTTATAAATAATAGAAGGTAAAACCGTACATGAACGTAAAGATATTGAGGGAAATAGGAATTTTTGATGAAAATGAAGGAAGATTGAAATGCTGAGTGACATTCAAACATCTTATGTCACTTGAATATCTTTCTGGAACTGTTTGAGAAGTATCTAAATCGTTTTTCATCATAATTGCATTTGAATAGCATAGAATGGTGGAAGAGCATGCATTTGTGATATTAGATGAACAGAAAGGATACTTTGATGGTGAAGAGCATAGAACTGAATGAGCATCTATATGATATGATGGCTGCTCATTCGTCAGTAGAACATCCTTTTCCACATTTTCACAGAATGACTCCAAATGTAAATGTACGTCATAGCTTAATCCTCTCTTCAAGACGATTTCTGGTTTCACTTCCTCTAACTAAAATAGCTTTTCTTAACCTTATCCTTATCCATGTTGTTTACCTTCGTATGCTCGTCAACTGCCTGAGGATGAAATTCTATTTCTATTGGCACATGTGATGGTCTTGAAGAGTTGACTGCTGGAGTTTCAACAACAAAATGCTCCTGGAAGGAATTTTATTACTTTGGAAAATGTTTGAGTAAACCTTCTCCGTATAGTGGAAAGGTTTGATCTTTGTATACTCATACTGAACAGCATAAACAGCATCATTATCCAATGGAATGCGAAACTCTCCATTCGTATTCTTCGTACTGAAATGTGTTTTTTTAATTTCTTCATGAGGTCTTCTCATCACTTGAATGTACGATAAACGACATCTGAAGCGTTTGATTGATCTATACGTAATGCTTGGATAGTGATAAAAGCTTCTTCAGTGTTTTCCACAGACTCTGTCACAATCACCAGTTCTCTGTCGGAGTTTCCTTCAACCTGAGCAGTAAATTGTTCATCTGATGGAATGCGTAACCTTTACTCACGGTATAATGCTTCAGATTCCTGAGATAGGTGACACTAGTGGTTCCTTCGATGTCTTTACACTCTGTTCCGAACTCTTGCGCAAATCTGTTCTTAGCCGAAACCATTTCGATGCTCTTCTTCCAACAAATTCTAAAAAGCATTTGGAGGTTTCTATTGAATCATCTCTTTGAAACCTTTTACAAACTGTCGGAGTTATGTGAGCTTTCACTTGATGAGATGTCTTGTTCAAATTCTCTAACTCATATCGATGATCTACCTATACAGTAGGACATGCTGAATTGTAATACAGTATGCAACATACTCTAATTTCTACAGTAACACTGTCCTCATAGTACGGTAGTCGGATTTTTTCAGATGACTTTGAATGTAAACAATCAACACTTACATCAACAACCACATCACTTCCATTAACTCTTCGAGAAAATAAAATATTTTCTTCTTGATATAAGATACAAGAAAACCTGTTGACAGCATGTAACCATCTCGCAGTCACATAAAATCCTTCCGTGTTCACTTCTCCATCCAGGCTTCTGTGCATTTTCACCTCAAAATTCAGACATTCCTTTGGTTGGCGAGAAAAAAAAATGTTTCCGACTCACATCAAACAAAGGATTTGTTGGAGTGGAAGAGTTTGCTTGTCGCGAAGCTGTTTTAATTAAACGTTCTTCCACATGTGAAATTGGTCTTACAAAGAGAATTTCATAGAAAGTGCCAATATTGTATAATTTTCATACCTATTATTAATAATATTTTCACTTCGAAAATACAATCCATACCAATGATCTGGCTTCAAGAAAGGAATTGTATATTTCCCTAAAAGGAAAAATAATTATTCTTGAGGGTTTCTCTCTCAATTGAAGCTTTCCTTTCCTTTCTTTACATTCAACTTTCCGCTATTTACAAAGGATAATTATACATAAGAATATGTTTTAAATTGTTTGAAAATCAATAAAACCTCGACTAATCATCAACCAGATGCCCTGAAGGTCTATTGGTGTTATTATACGATTTTCCTTCAAATCTGTTAATTCAATTCTTATCCTCAGCTTATCATGGGGACCTGCAAATGAAAGGTGATGCGGAATGTTGATTAACATGATGAAAGTTGTATATTACCATTTTTGGTTGTGAACACGACGATTTGTGTGGGATCTGATTGAATATTCGTAATGTGATCAGTTTCATATGACGAATTAACAGAATGTGATTGTGGTGAAGCTGTTACATAGCCTGGTTGAAGTGGCAAAGATCTTGAACTTCTGTTTATCGAGTCAACTGCAATATGGAGAAATTTAAATTTTATTTTTGTTGATGAAATGAATAAGATGAAAACCTGTTGAATGATTAAGAAGATGAGCTGGTTGAGTGAGTAATTGAATGAATACAAAGAGCAAAATGATCATTTCGAAGCTTTTATAATATGGAATAAGACAAGATTTGAAGTAAGTAAATGTCTCTAAGCAATGGGCATTATCTAGTAGAACGGAAGTACCTTAGTCGATACATGCTAAGCTTATTCTCCAACGAATTTTTACTTTGAACTCTATTTTCCTTATTTGCAGTGCGGATCATGGACATATCAATCTGATATTATAAACTTGTTGGTGGAGAAGGAAGAAATAGATTTAGGAGATTTCTATGATAATCAAGTAGTTTCTTTGAGATTTTATTTCGAAAAACAACTTCCACCCCTCTGAATTCCTCCGATTAAGCATCGTTTAACCCACAAAGCAAAACATTTCATTTTCAACTGGAAAAGAAGATTGGAAAACCAACAGAAGAAAAAAAAAACATTTTTTCAATCCTCTCTATCTATCTCTCTCTCTGAACTCCTCCACTCCCCTTGTGTCAGACGATCTACTCTCGTTGAATTCAATTCTTGACGTTGAGTTCAAGAAAATTTTCCAAAATTTCAAACCAAGAAATGAAAATTATTTATTGCAAACACACATGGTGTTTTCTACGTTGAACGAACCAATTAAGGAATGGTTATTGCTGGATGCTCGGTTATACAATGGAACTACTCGACACATCCCATTATCAAATGAATCATTCTCCATGGTATACATGGAGTTGGCTTTAAAGCGACAAAGCTTCTATTATGTTTTCAATTTAGTTTTTCCCACAACTTTGGTAATTTTTCTTTTTTCACTACTTTTTTTTTCATAAAAGAACAACATAATAGGTCTCGCTAGTAGCTGTTATCGGATTTCATGCTCCTATTAATGCAACCGGTCGACGTGAAAGCAAGTTTCGTTTAGGTTTGAAAGTTTTCTTAATTTTGAGAAAATTTTATTTGATTTTACAGGCATTATGACATTGCTCTCAATGTCTGTCATGCTTCTTATGCTTGTTGGAGAAATGAAGTTCGCTATGGAAAGTGTACCCGGTCAAAGAGGGTCTTTCAGTGATGTCCCTTTACTAGGTTAGTCAGTTTCATTTTTTTTTCTCCTTCCGCGTACCCCCCGCAAAACGGCTTGTTACGTCCAAATTTGCATTAAACGTGTTTAGTACGTGCAGATGCTAAAACCGATAATCAAATCACTCATTTATTCAAATGACGAACGGTCATTTCCGTTGTCGTCTGCAAGAGCTTCCCCTCGCCGAGAATCAAATTCTTCATTTCAGGAATTTACTATATGACATTAATATTCATAATAAGCATATCCACGTGTACATCATCCATATTTGTTCATCTGGAGAAGTATGCTCTGCGTAATCCTACAATAACTGTAAGATGCTCAATTTGAATACAAAAGAAATCATTCAATTGCCTCAGGCGGTACCCAGTTATTTACGATGGCTGGCAGCAAAGAAACTTTTTTGTTGTTATGTCCCAAAAGGATTTGGTTATGGAAAAGAAGAAATTGTTCGAAACAATAACATTCAAGTAAAATTTCAAAAAATTTAATTAAAATAGTTTTTTGTTGTATTCAGGTCAGCTCAATTCACTCATCGCCTGATTTGGCTGCAAACAAGAAGCTTATACCAAAAGAGGTTTGTGTTTGACTTAATCACTCACTCACTTCATCAATGTCATGGTCAATAATGAAATACTGTTGTTTTAAGGTTAATTTCACTGAAATCAATAAGGATGCACCCTTACATGGAGAAGTACTGTTAGAAGGTCATCCAGGATCAAATAACAAATATGATATTGTCATTAATCTATTGCGGGAGATTGTAAGCTTGAAAGAAGCTACCACACATCAGAATCAAGTAAGCTTCCCCCCAACCTAATCCAATGTATAATAAAAAAAAATTATTTTTTCAGCTGCGACCATATTGGGAAAGAATTCTAAAGCGATTGGAAACAATCTCATTGACATTTTATTTGACACTCATTGGTATCAATATAACTCTATTTCTTTATCCTGAACTGTGGTATTGATTACGGTAATTTATTCTTTTTCGTTCTAAGACCATGTCAGATCTCTGTGATTATCATGAACATTATCATTCCATTTTTATGAAAGATAACAAAAAAATAAACTTTTTTTTCAATCATAGGTCAATCGTTTACTTCTTCTTCATCGTCGTGGTTGTTGTCTTCGTCGTCTTCATCTTCTCCTTCTTCTCCTTCTTCTTCTTCTTTTTCCCAACAACCCCACAACTACTATCTCTTGACACAATGGAAAATCAAATTTCCCCTTTTCGTCCTTCTAACTGAAATATGTGTGAGCGGAGAGATTCTTCTATGAATTTTATAATTTAAAAGTTGAAAGTTAAATTACTTCCGTTTCAAGATTTCATCTGAAATCGCAGTTAATTCGTGCACTTTTCTCTCTTTTTTTTTCGCCTCTTCTGACAGAAATTCCAAATTAAAAAGATGAAAAAAATGAGAGAAATCTGAGCAAGAGAGCAAAACGCCAGATATCTCTCTCATGCTCGTGTAGAAGAGAGAGAGAAAACGATTGTGAACGTGAATGATCGAAGAAGTCAGATAGAGAGAGAGAGAGAGAAGAGAAAGCAATAAGTAGTAGCAATTTTTGCAATGTTTACTAAAAAGATAAACTTTGAATTGCTGTAGATGTCACCAGCCAACATCGACATTACTTCTGACGCCGTTGTTCATTTAGTCGTCACACGAATTCATTCAGAAGACGTTCTTCTCACAAAAAAATTTTCTTTCAAATTCTCTCCTTCTCTTTTCTTTTCATTTTTCTCTTCTTAAAAAACAGACAATTTGTCAACAGTACGAAAATGATTGTAAGTTGGTCTCTGATTCTCGTGTCGTTCTTCAAATAAAACGCCTTCAGAAGTAAACTATTTCCTTTGAAGTTACGTGAACATAATTATTCTTTGACATTTCATTAACAATTCATTTGAACAATCTTTTAACCTAATTAGAATGCAGCTTACAACTTGGTTGGAAAAGGAGGTAATGATGAAGCAAGAGTTTGGTGGGAGGATGGAGCTATATATATCTGGAACGAGAGAGAGAGGGATATATAGAGAGAGACAGAGAGAGAGAGAGAGAGAGTGAAAAGTATTTTTTGCTTTTCAGTCCACTTTCTTCCAATCCGGACGGACGCTGGATAGTTTGATGGAGCTAAACGACAAAAATCTTTATTTTATTTTATTTTAAAATTAAATTTGAATCGTCGATTATGCAATCTCTCGTGAATTTTAACTGATTTACATATTTAATTATAACAGCTAACTATATGTATCTAGATATCTATATATATATAGTCAATCGATGACAAGATACGACACCCACTTAACATTATCTTTTTCTTCTCATTTTTTTCGTGTTCTGAGCAATCAGTCGGTACATAAACCTCTTGAAAATGTATTTTTCATAAATTCAACTGAACTCATTCTTCCTGTTATTATGGATGTAATTGTCTTTGAAATAACATTTTTCCTTTTTTATTCATCACTCTCCAACCAATGAATGATCCTTGTTCAGAAGTAATTTCATAACTAATTCTTCTTATTGATTTAGGATCAACTTCTCTCATTTCCAATTTTGGAACCTTTTTTAGTTCACTCTTTAATCTTAAATGTCAACTTTTATAGAGAGTAAAACCTTTTAAAGCTTAGTAGAGAAGATCGAAAGCTATGTTCATGTTAAGACAAGTCGAAGGAGGGAAAGATTGAGATAGAGAGAGAGAGAGGGGAAGCAAGGTAGATGTAGTAGTAGACACTATGGGAATGAGATACAAAGGTAATCTGTCCTCATCTCTCTCTCTCTCTCAAGATATGTATCTCACTCTCTCTATGACTTCATCTCAATCACAGCGTTCCTATCGTAACAGCAAAGAGACATATAAGGAATTGATCTTTTCCACATTTCTTTTCCCAAAAAAAAAATTTTTTTTTGTTTGTTCTCATCGGATACTTGAAAGGAAAACTAGCATTTGTTAACGTTTCAGTTCATAATAAGCCTGAAATTCGTCAAAATCATTCCGTGTTTTGCTCATTTGAAAACATAATATGCTCATGAACGATAGACAGTCAGCTTTTCTTTTTCCTTTTTTGGATGCACTTTTCAGTTGAATAAAGGGTAGAAGAGTTGTTGCAATTGCATATTTTCTTCTTTTTTTTTTTCATTTTTTATTTCCAAAATAATTTATTTATTCTCTCTCTCTCTCTCTCTCTCTCTCTCTTTCTCTCTCTCTCTCTATCTCTCTCTTTCTCTCTCTCTCTCTTTGTATCTCTCCGCCTTTATCTCTCTCTTTATCTCACAAATGGATTGCAAGCTTGTTGTTTTCTTTTTTATCCCAAAAAATATTTAAAAAATTTTCTTGAAAAATGAAGTCAAAATGATGTCTAAGCAGAGGAAGATGTTGTTGGCTTATCAACTTTTCATTTGTTTAGAAAGAATATTGAAAAGGAAATGAAAAACCTTGGAAACATGACTAGCTCTCTCTCTCTCTCTCTTCATCCATATCTTCCTCTAATATGAAGCATGGTGTATTTCCTTGTCTCTTACATTCTTGTAATATCTCTCTCTCTCTCTCTATCGGTATCTCTCTCTATATATATCCTTTCTGTTCCTTCTGCTTCATTCATTAGAAGAGTTCCTTTATCTGTTGGAATATTTAGATGCACACACAAACATAAATATAAAGAAGAACTTAGAAAAAGAAAACTTTTTTCTTCTTCTTTTTCATCACAAAAAATAGACAAAAAGAAGTCTGATAGCAATCTAGAGTTACATATAGTTTCCTCTCTTTACTATACATATATAGTAAATTATAACAACGACGTCTGGAAATATTTTGAAAACATAGCATTCCTTCTGGCTGCTTTCAGATCTTTTTTTTTTCGCTTCCTTACTTTATAAATTTTAATTTTTCGTTTACTCTTTCATCTGTTACGACTAGGAGGAAGAAAGGAAAACGAAAGAATGGGAGGAATGAGAAGCTCTTTGGAACACATCAAAAGCACGTGAACTTTATGGTTCAAAACGTTGTCGGAACGGTTGCTTTTCTTCTTCACACCCAATCCGTCGTCCACGAATTCTTCATCAAACAATGTACTGCCACTCCTGTAAACGAGAGGGTTTGCTCTCCAATGATGCATTCGGATTAGATGCTTCCTTCCCTTCTCTCGACTTGCCTTCTCTCTCTCATATCTTCACCTCTTGATACTATCTTTAATATGAGAAAATAACAAAATTATTTCTTATTTCTAACCATTATTTGCTCATATTTATTCTAATTAACTTTTTGTTTCATCTATTTGTAGTTAAATATACTATTCAAATATAACATTTTTTTTATTTAAAATAACGAAGATGAAGTCATCTTTGCTCGCAATCCGCCTACTACTTCATCTTCATCCATTCAAACTTCTTCACTTTTCACTTGTTAATCTTAGATTTTTTTCAAAATGCAAATAAAAAACTTCAGGACATCCAGTGGATCGGCGATTTTTAGATTTCAAACGACAGAATGGTCGCTTTTTTTCCTTTTTTTTCTCAGCTTCTCTTGATATCTGTTCATCTGTATGCTATCTCACTCTCGCACATTCATCTATCGTTCATTAAATGACAAAAAGATAAAAAAGAAACGTTCATTATATTTCAGGTGTCCAAATAAGGTCTTGTTCCCTCTCTTTCTACTTTTCCTTTATCTCTCTCTCTCTCTCTCTTAGTATCTCTCTCCCTCTCTATCATTCATACTTCACTCTTCTAAGCTTCATCTGTTTCTATTTGTCATTAAATCATATAATTAGATTAATATGACATTGAAGTAAGAGAAAAAATGGATTTTTCCTCTCAAACGACTTCTCATAAAATGCCATTTTAGGAAGGTTCAAAGCCTACCAACAGCTTTTCATCTCAACAAACTTTCGTTTTTGAACATCATTTCATCAAAATCCACAGCTGTGTCTACATATGAACTCATTTTGACATTAAAACCCACCTACCTTCTAATCAATAATTTATTCACGTGAATTTTCACGTGCTCAGCCATTTTTTATTTTTGCAAATGGCTGTGAGCGGTTGCGTTTCTATTAACTTCCTCATCGTTTTTAGAAGAAACTTCATCTTTTCAACCGACCTTATGGCATAAAATCTCAAATTTCCATCTGATTCTCTCAATTCTCATTCTCTGCAGATTCTGGAGGGAAACGAAACCATTTTTCCCGAAAAAAAAACTTTCTTGCCTCACTAATATTGTGAAAGAGTTTGACGTCTTCTCTTCCATCAACTCCATTCTCCCTTTCATTTCCATTCGTTCATCATCAGAATTACTTAAAATATTTGAAAAAGAGAACTGGTCTTGTCCTTCCACTTGTAAAAATTCCTTCTTTTGTCATACTTTTTGGATCAAGTTGCTTCAAATATCATATCACGTTTAAACATGAGATAAAGGACATCTTCTTCAGAAGCAACAGCTGATGATTAGGAGAAGAAGGTATAAGCTCATCAGTTTCTACTTCACCACCTCATCAATCATCTATTCTCCTTCATCGTCTTTTTTGTTCCATCTTAAACAGATTAAATATATGTTCGTTCAGCTTCATCTCTTTCAAAAGTAAAATTCCTAAAACAACAATAAATTTGTATTTACGTCATTCTATTCCTTCTCATCCAAAATAGAATCTCAGTTTTATAGAGTTCCAAAGGGGTGGAGAAGGAGAAGCGGGGTGTGTCTGGATTGGCTTTCCAACAGTTATTTTCCTTCCAAACAATATGTTTTGCTCTCCAACTTTCGTGACAACTATTTCATACCAATTTATCTTTATCCTCGTATAATGTATTATATTTATACATGAGCTTTCATATCATTGACCTTCAATGGAGGTGAATGAGCTAGAAGAAAGCGCCACACACACACACACTCACATAAGCAATGTGAGGTGGACGATGAACACGGAACTCCCTCTATTCCCACTATTCGCCCTCAAAGTTGTTGTCTTCTACCATCCTTC